ACTTTGAATAAACTATTTTTTGTATTTTTCTTGAAATTTTCCATTTTTCATTGATCAAAAAAACCCGGAAACTTAGTTGCCTACTTAGTATAAAATTTTTTTTGTTAATAACTTTTTAACAAACAATGGCGGTTAAACCTTTTGAACGATTAAAACCTTTTGAATGTTACTCAGGATGGTAACCTTGACAATATATATGAAGGTCATCGTCCTCGGAAGGTCCGTTTTTATCAATATTTTTTATAAAGTATATAAAAATTACACTAAAATAATATTCTCTTATTTTTAAATGAATTCTCCTTTCAAATTTATTAGGTTCCTATCGTAACCAATTGTTACGTATGCACATTGCAGTGGCTCTTGACGTCTCAGTATGACAGTTCGTATTGGGATCTTAGCAACACGCTTGGAAAATAACACCGAATTTGTCTGGAGAAACCGTCAAATTCGCAACGGAGCTGAGGGTTAAATTTCTTGTTACAGAATGAACTTAGCGGCATACATGACTCCTTGCAAGGAAAATAACTTCAATCACGTGGGCATTGGGCTTTAGAGAGCGCGTCGAGAAATAAATTGCTCTCGGAATTGCAGCACGACATTCGTGCGTTTATTAAGAATTTAGCGAAATGTTAAGGCCGCGCGTAACGTAATTTTCGCGGATAAGTATATTTAATTTTCTCGCACGACTCGTCGGCACAGCACAACATCAGTCACCCACGCTTATCGAGTAACGAGATATCGTAATCGTTATCAAATTCTGACAGATGGTCTTGATCCACTGGAATAACCGGAAAGTAATATATCTCGGACATACAGGCACCATGTAGTGATTTTTTCGTCAAATTTTTCATTGATAAATAAGATAATGAACAGGACAGTAGAGACGGCTTTAACTGCGGCTCGCGCAACTAAGAGGCATCGAGTTTATTACATCGAGCAAGAAAACAGCGATAATTTTCGTTTACTGAGAAAAGAATATTTGGTATATTTGTAACTATAACCCTTATAGAAATATCATACTAAGAATCATTGATAATTACTTATTTTCAGTATTAAAAATACTGGATAATAAGTAATTATCAATGATTCTTAGTATGATATTTCTATAAGGGAGTCACATAGAGAAGTAATCACTATAAATTACGGTCAAGAAAATCATTCCTTTATTAAGTTTTTCTGTAATGCTAGTGATAATATCCTGTGCGAATAAGCAACCATTTGTTTTTCTGCCAGTGTTTGAGGAATGAAAATCTCTCGAAGTCCACGTGTTTTTTAAAAGGCCAGGTTGACCACTCGCTAGAATAATCCGTGGGGAGTTTTCTCTCGGATCCCGCTTGTTTTCCTAGCTCTTGCTCCGTCGAGCTGACTGTAATTTAAGGAAAACACGGCTCGCGATTGTTTCTCCGAATAATCTTTATCGACGTCGCTCAATCGTCGTCTCATCCCGCGGCTCGAAAGAAACGGAGAACTCTTTGGAAATATCAACGCCTTGGGGATTGTGAGAATGCAGTGTGCATTCGCCGTGGATGTTTTCACGTAGACTGGGAAGAAAAGCGCGCGAGGGACGGTCTGATCGGAGAAAACGCGGTTTATCGTGTTTGTGCGCGACATTGGCCACGAGATTTCCTTCGCCTGTCGATGAAGATCCTAGAGAGTAGCGTTCAACAGACGAGCGTATTGATCGGTTTGCCATCACAGCAGGAGCTGCACGTCGCTCGTACAGCTATACATATATATCAGATAATATCAAAGCATTGAAAGGTGTATTATTCGGGGCTGTGATTACAATAACATATGTGAGTGCGTACATTCAGTTATAAACATTACTCTTCAAGTTTCTTAGAGCGAAACTTCACCTGAAAAACATATAGGGATGTATGATTTGTGAAACTGTGCATCGCGACGCGATCTTTTTTAAGAAGCGCTATAAATGCGATATGTCGCATCACAATTTTGTTTCGTAAACATGATTTTAAATTGCGCGCGATTTTATAACCTAACGCGATTTTTAATCATGAGGGAACCTGGGGAGAGAAACCGTAGTGTTTAAATAAATATTAAACATATTTAAAAATAAACAAAATGAATAAAATATTAAAAATAAATATAATAATAATAATAGTAATTAATAATAATACTTTAAAAAAAATACAATTACTATCACGCGACAATTCGAAGATTTATCGCTACACTAAACTTGACCTGTTTATTGAACCTGACTTGTTTATTTTAGAATTTAGAACTTCAATATAAAACAAAAATCAAATTCTAAGTCATTTTATGTCAATGTCAACTAAATATAATTCAAAGTATCTAAGCATGTATTGTAATCTAGCATTAAAAAAGATCTTTTGCAAAATAATCAGTTTCGTTTTTTACTGTTCTTTACATCACAAGTTATTTTTGTGTCCTACGCATATACGTGAAACACTTTGACCTGGCCGAGAATGCACAGAAAAACTTAAGCAGTAAGCAAATAAATCAATCATAAATGAGAACGTAAGCGGTCATCTTAAAAGTTAAACCATAAGACGTTCCGTTATAAAATTTCGTACTGAAATCTTTATGTTTTACATCTTGTGTTCAACCAATTATATGCAACTGTTCAGTTTTACTCTGAATATGTACGATTACAGTACCACCGTGTCTGGATTTTATTTCCAAGTCGAGAAGGTATAAAATTAATATATATCAAGATATATATTTAATACATAACAGTAATTTATTATATATATTTTTTTGTATAAATACTAGATTAATAATAAAGTGATTTATACGCATTTCTCTTCACTTCCTACATGTCTCCTTCAGTTTTATATTGCCAAGAAGCAGTTCTCCATATCCTATAATCTTCCTCTTATGCATCGTATTTCACCCTTCGTTTTTTCCTCTTCATTACTTGTATCCTCTTCTTCCTCTATTCCTTGCAAATTTCTATCTCTTCTATTACCTTCTATTATACATTTCCTCTACGGATAATTTTCTCTACATTACCATACTAATTTCAGCTTGGCTGCATTACCTACACTATCCTAAGTACTCGTTCCTTATGAGGCCATAAATCTCTATTATCTGTACGCATTCTCTACCCTGAATCCTGCTTTCTCACCTAACACCTTGCTAACACCTTGTTTCGTCTTCATTTGCACACTATCCACGCACTCATTCCTACTTAATTTTCCTTATCTGTGACCCTTCATATTTCAACTCGATATATCAAAACTATTCCAAACCTACCACGCATCACATTAACCAAGTATATTTGCACGCCATCTAACTAAGTCTCTCTTTTAATTAATAATTCAAAATTTTATATTTTTGCAAAATGATTATTTACAAAAAGATGTTTTGTACAAATAGTGACTGGTGATGAAAAGTAGGTGTACGACAATCCAAAAAGGCGAAAATCGTAAGTTAATCCTACTGAAACATTAACATCGACTGGGAAATCAAATTTTCATGGAAAAAATCTTACTATGTGTGTTTAGGGACATTAAGGAAGTGTATTGTATTATGAGTTGCTTAAACTAGGTGAAACTGTCACTGCTGAGCGTTATCAGCGGCAACTTAACTGTATGAATAACGCAATTGTGCAAAATAACGTCATTTACTGATAATAGACAAGTAATATTGGACTAGACAAGTAATACTGCTGCATGATAACGTAAAACGGCACACAGATAAGGAGACCTTATATTCGTTGGGTTAAGAAGCTCTCTCTTATGCGACTTATTCTTCAAACTATTAACGCTTTCGGATTATCATTTATTCCGATCCCTACTACTACACCACTTAGTTCATTCACGCTTCAAAACGTCCGAAGATGTCAATAAAAGCATTAATGACTTCATCAATTCAAAACCTCCTTTTTATTGAGATGGAATTCGCCAGCTGCCTAATCGATGGCAAAAGTGTGATGGCAGATTCTGATAACGATTATCTCGTAGATTAAAATATGATTTAATTCTTTGAATGAATAAACAATAAATTTATTGAAAAAAGATCGAGAATTAATTTGTACATTTAATAATCATGTATCGATCTAATAATGTGTCGATAATTATGTGATAGATTTGATATTCAATGTTAATAAGACGAACGTAGACTTGAGCGGATATAACCCGAATATGACCCGGAATAACGTGCTCTTAAGCATCATCTATCTACATAAGACGCAGAACGCGGGTCGCAGGTCGCAAGAAAAAAACACGCATTAAGACAAGAATTTTACGATTCAGCATTTGTTTCTTGCGACCTGCGATCTGCGACCCGCGTTCTATGTAAATGGGGTTTTACAGAAACCAATACATCTCGAGCGCATCCTCGACGGGATAAATTTGCAAGTTGAGTTTACAAATTGTGAAAAATCATCTCTGAGGGGATCGCAAATCGACGACAAAAGTATCGACGGATGCGCCGGCCCTTTGCATAATTTTTCCCAGCACGACTGTTGGTCGCGCTAAAGTTCGCGTAGTGGGGGCATCGTATTTATTAGCAAAAGGTATTTATGAGCATACGCGCATGGCTGTCGTTTCAGTTGCGAAAGTTGTGGCGGTCCTACAGCGCGCAAGTTGAAGTTAACGGGTCGTTTACACATTTACACACCGTAAGTAAAGAGCAGCGAATTAACGGAGGTGCATGTGCATTGCATTACGTGAATACAGACGTGAAAGAAAGTGCTTCCGCGTTTGTTCGGATCGCGCGAGACGCTCGCGTGGAGCCGCTCGTTGCATAATACTTTCATTGCAGATGGAGGAAAGTACCATGTTTTCTCGCTCTCTTTCTCTCTCTTTCTCCCCCTTTCTCTCGCGCACTCGCTCTCACTCTCTTTCTCTCGTTTCTTCTCCTCCACAGTTGCGGGACTGCATGCATGTTTGCATTCGCTCGCTTCCGCGATGCAACAACGTAATTCTCGGATGGAAAACGAAAGGATTCTCTCTCTCTCTCTTTCTTTCTCTCTGTATATATATATATTTTTCCATTTTCTTCACAGTGGTTTTGTTTGTCGTTCGATGTAAACGCTCGCAAATTCGTACTACAATCGGGACAATGAGGACGTCTCGAACGCGCGAAAACGCGCGAGCAATTTCGCCGGTAAATAACTAGCGCGAGCGCGCACTGAACGAAGAGTCTCATTACAATCGAGTTTCAAGCAACAGCTGCCTCCAGCAGATTCGATTACAGTAGTCCCGTCGTTGCGTACACGAATGAGTGTGTCCGGAGTGTTTAAGCGAATTTTGCATCTCTGTAAGTAAATTGATAGCAGAGTGGCGCAGATTGGCAGCAAATTTGATCAGAATTCAATACCAAAACTATAGCCATCTGTGTCCGCTTTCAGCTCATGTATTAGCGTTCGAGTCTGCTGACAGGTAATGCGAACAGATCGGCAACAGAAACCGCACAGATCCTATCGCGTAGTAAGGTTGTTCGATTTATATGATCTGCTGGCAGATTGGCAGCATAATTATAGGCTCTGCTCAGCTCCTGCCGCTAATCTGCTCAGATTATCTGTTAACAGGTTCTGGTAATAGTTTGGCAACGTGAACTTATTTGACAACAAGTCCTGTGTTAAATTTGCTGAAAAATCTGTTTACGCGCATGAGATTATTGGTTATTTGGGTGGTTTCTTTTCTTCGTAGGAGCGACTGCACTCCGCTTCCCGCGTCTCTCCCGCATATCCTAAACATCCATCATGAATCTTTTCACGTCGAACTCAATCATATTTATTAATCATGTAATACACTTCTCAGATAGCATAAAGAATTTAAAAAGAATTTTAAAAGAATCCAATCGTATGTTACCTATTCATTTCAGATGCAAATTTCATTTTCAAATGCAAAAAGAATTCTTCAGAGTTCAGTTCAGTGAGAAGAATTCTTTTGCAACTAAAAGTGAACTCAGAATTGATGACATATAACTGATTTCTTTTTTAATTTTCTGTAGTATCTGGGCTGCGTAACAGTGTGACGATAACAGCAGTTAAAATAGAATAGGCTTACTGGACGAGTCGCAGTCGTTTTACTGAGGTAAAAGACTGAGGTTCGATGACTTCTCGACTGGAAATCTCTGATATTTGTCAACAACTATTTGCTGCGAAGCTACAGATCGATTTCGCGAGTTTGACGGCTGGCGAGTCTTCCACCGCCCAGGCGAGTATATTCGCTATATTCGCATCCTCGCGATTGAGCGACGCTCCGAATTATATTTGCGATTTATCGTCGATGATGGTAAACAAATTTGCCGCGGTCGGTCGCGACGTCGATACCATTTCGAGTTCGAGTTCGAGTCGCGACCGACGCGCGCACGCGCGCGCAAAAATTCAATTTAAAGAGTTCCGACCTAACCTCCGTGGCGTAAGGACGTGTTCGAATTTGTTCGCACGTGATTTGTGACTTTCTGAGACATATACCTTGGAATTATTTCTAAGTATTATAAAATCTTACCTTTTTTAATCGGAGAATGAACAATCGCTATAACTACCTTAATAGTACAGTTCATTGGAACGATATTGGCTACAAATTGGGTCCCAATATACTCCATATTGCAAAATATTTCAAAGTAGACGCCTTGCATTTTATAGTTAATATAGAATTCCAAACATTAGCGATTTATTTGTTACCTATATTGGCTATTATACATATTATATTATACTCGTGCTGGATTATATTGACTCAATATAACCTTCAACGTATGCCAATGTTAATATAATGATATTGTGCTATGTTGGGTTAATGTAATATCAATAAAAGCCAATGTGTTACTAGAGTAATTACCAGCAATATATCGAGCAATGATGTGAATTCGTCTGAGTTACGTCTAAAACTAACATTAAGAGTGAGAGTGAGAGGGAGAGTGTGTGTGTGTGAGAGAGAGAAAGAGGGAGAGGGAGAGAGCTTGCGAACGCAATCGATTTTCCAGCTACCCTCACAAACCTCGGTCAGGCGACCGCGTCAGCTGAACCCTAGATTCCAACCCCTAAAGCAGAGTTCTCCGCGAAACGGCTTCCGCCATCTGGCGCTGATGGTCGGCGCAGTGCAGCGCAACGTCGTGCGGCGCGGCGTGACGCGACGAAACCGAGTCAGTATGTCTTGCCCTTTCCGTTAGGACAGTTCGCCGTTCCACCAGAACGGTGAAGGAAGCTTGGTCGATCGAGGTCGGCGTGAAGTTGTGCACAACGCGCGGGCGCGCGCGCTCGAGACACGGAAACGCGCGCACAAGAAAGAAAAGAACGAAAGAAAAGAATAGGGACAGAGTAAGAGAGAGGGAGAGAAAGAGAATTCCCGCTCGTAATCTCGGTGAGTCTATTTGCAGCGCAACATCCGGCACGCTGACGTCCGCGTTTCCGTTGACCACGCTGGTCGGCGATCGTAGGTCTGTTCGTGTCCGAAGAACTTCGGCACTAGTGCAATCAGTTCAAATGAAACTAGTGCACTTTCTTTCACACTCTAATTTATCGCTCCGGTGTGCGTCAATTTAGAAATTCCTCGAGAACGAACAGATTTTATCATGACAGCAAGAGTCGTATTCTCGATACGTGTATTTGAACACTGAGCACGGCCTTTTTATTCCGTTTTTCTTATACGAACATCCTGTATAAAATTGTTTAGCTTGAGAATCGGAAAGACGTACTCTCAACGATTGAATATGCGTGAAGAATACGACTTCAGAGGGAAGCGAGAGCGCGACATCCCTCGATCTTGTCGCATCAAAACTCGTCGCCGAACATGCAGCATTTTCGCTTTCCATCAAGCAACGTGCTCGTGACGAGAGAAATACGTCCGACATTGACAGCTGCGGACAGGAAGGAGAATATCGTGGAGGACTTGTCGACGAGAGCTTATCGATATTGAACAGATTAACGGGACATTAAACGCGCGTCACGTGAGTTCGCGAGCGATATCAAAATGTGACGACGATAAGGACGGCGCGTGCCGAGACGAGGGAAAGACGTGCTCTCGCATCGTGCTGTATCTAATTACTGTAGGTGAGACTGGGGCTAATTAGCTATCGGGATAAGTTGACAAAACCGGTTATTATTTCTAGTATTTTTTAACAAGAGTTACAAAATTAAGTAAGCAAGACTTTTATATATGTCAAAGATGGCTTTGAAAACTCTGTTTGCTTGATTCTGAATTCTGTTAAAAAACAATAGAAATGATTAATTTTGCCAACTTATCACGGCACCATAGTTTGAAAGGTCTATCCTTATTCTCGAAGTATCATGCTTACTTTGACCCAAATTTGTTTTAGTATATACATTTTTTATTTTTTATTTTATTTGTTACTAGTTGCGGCATTTTTGCACACTTTTTTTTAAACTTGCCAATGGATACTCGCTTCTAATGTCAATTGCGCTTTTTCCTGGGGAATTCGAAGACCTCAACATCATCTTCGCCTTTATTGCTTCAGAGATATTCAAGACAACAATAATTCTTGACTCATTCTGTATATACCGGATATATACATATATTCTGTATTAGGAGTTTACATATTTATATTTTTATTTTACTTATATTTAACTTAATTTATATTTATATTGAAAGATAAAAATAAAACAATAAGAGTGTTCAGAGTTAAGTAGGTATCCAGGCACTGATACTTTTATCTTATAGTTGAAACTTATGTCTCCATGTGACGTACGGTCCGATCTGTCTCGAGGTTACTCCTTATCGACCGTCTCGATCCGAGAAACTTACAGCATAATTGCTTCGAGTTCTACTTTATTTTTTCATTCCGCTTTGCATAAACCGCTGTGTAACGTCTCTTTGATCATCTCGTGAATGCTTCGTCGAAATTGTTTTCGCAATTAAATGTGACCCAATCCACAAAATTATGATTTTTGAGTTTTTTTTTGTATGAATATATAGCCCATATTTCTACATAAAACATGAAAAATCCGAGCCTTATAGGTGCCTAAAATAAATATAAAAAGTTCAGTTTTTATTTTCCAGTTGCGCGACATTTTTACATATTCTTTTTAAGAATTAAACTCGCCAATGAATACTCTTAAAGAATATCCTTAAAGAGAAGAAAACTGACTTCTTGAACGATTGCAAAGAACCTCGGGAAGAATCTTAAAACTATAAAACCGCTTTCCATAGACTTTAGGTTACGTATTAAATTTTCATCTTCATATTTCTCGAAACGCGTGCTTTATTCGGTTAAATCATTATTGCATAACTACAGCCAATTCTCGCGATTTTTTGGGGTTTTGATTGAGAATTCGATATATAATTTTAGGATTCTTTCGAGACTTTGTATATTCTTCGTTTGCTAGCGCGAAATTTGCGTAAGGCTTCCTTAGCACGTATCTTGCGTTCGTTTCACATTTCTCTTCATAATCACTTTTTTTATACTCACGTTTCTCTTCATAATAATGACCGACAATATAGAATTCAAGATCAGTTAAACTTCGAAAGTTGTTCCGAGACATCCTGTATAACATGTAACAGTTACACAACATATGATTGAGCTGACATTGTAACATCGATGTTACATTACTGATACTTGGTGTTTATCGGGCTTTGACTTGCGCGTCGAAAGTTCGGTCGACGCGACGCGGCAGAGATTACCTCGTTTTCCGCATGCATATACACACGCACGCGATATATACGCGAAGTGCGTAATAACTCCGTGCAGCGGATCGATATACGGAGCGTATAGGTCGATCGATCGCTCTCCGAACTGGCCGACGTCAACGTGCAACGACGAATCCGTGCGCTATTCGTTGCGTGATGAGAATTTCGGCGCGCAGAAACGCAGAATTGTACCGCAAGGAAATCCACCACGGTAGAAGCAACCCCTCTACTCTTCGCGCGCTTTGAATATGCCGTGCAATCTAGGTGAAAATAAGGAGCACGTACTTTTTTTTCGGGAGGGGTAAAGTAACCCTTTTAAGGCGATGCTGAAGTCGATGACGAAATCGTGCAATGTCGGTAACGCAGAGATCGTTATTGACACAATCACACTATCCTTTTCATGCATGCAAAACTTACGTAAATATGTGTTGCTTTGTTTTATCTTATTTATAGTGATGGGGACAAGTATTTAGTGTCTAATTATAAGTACGTGAAAACGGAAGGTTCTTTTATTTGTATGCTGATTACGTTTGTGCAACATATGTTATGCAACGTTTGTGGAACGTTTATTTACGTATGTAAATAAACTTGCGCTATTACATCGACATATCTGTTAATGGTGCTATACATAAAAACAGAAAACGCGTGCTCTTGACACACCCTGATATCTTACTTTTATCGTTTTGCATCAATCTTCCACCTTACTCCTACTTGTTTATTCTTATCTTTTTTTAGATAATCTCTACTGCCTACTGAGAAAATTTAATGCACTTTAACAAATGTTCTTTAATTCTTAATTTTAATTAAATTCTACTGCTATCTAGAAGCATACGTGTACAGTTTCTCAAAGTGGACAATTATTTACGAAAGAAGTGTATATATATACTATTTATAGCACACTATTATTTAACAACTGAGGGTGTATAAACACATCAATAGTCACGCTCTATTTACTACGTTCATATTTTTTTTGTTCAGCAAATGATATGAGTATCATAGTACTATAATACAATTGTGAAATGTAGTCTCCCCGTTTCGTATAAATTACCTTTAAGCGTGTCGTTGCGAAAGAGCTGAGATAACAAGAATAAATTTATAAAATGTCTGTACGTAGCGAAATATAAAAGATCACATAGAATAATTTAAATTGTTTATCTGTCAGAGATTTATTCAGCGTGAGAAGTAAATAGATTTTACTTACGGTTTGTGCAAAAAAATAGAAATAAAATATCAGGACCTGTCAAGAGCGTGTTATAGAATATTTACGTAACACACCAACATTAATAGATGCGTTGGCGCAATAGCGCAAGTTTATTTGCGCCGCTGCTTCAGCGCAATCAGCATAAAAATAAAAGCATTTTTTTACTGTTGAAGTAAACTAGTCTAGTAGTTTAGTAGGTGACTTCGTGTCATTAATAATTATATTCACCGCGATATGCATTTATATTTATAAATGCATATCTCAAGAACTTCTATCAGTACTTTACACTTTATACTTTTTACACACACGTACTTTCCTTTTTATAATTTCCATAAGTTAATGACAACTTTCTTATTTGTTATAAAACAAATAATAAGTGATAAAACGAATAAGAATTTGACACATAAAGCGCATCGAAATAAATCTGAGAGCTCATTATCGCGGATTTTCTTGTCATTTTAGTCAAATTGGACCATCGTGAGTCAAGTGACAGAAATAATCGCACGTAATCTTGACACTTGACGCGGGCCATCGCTTCGACGTAAGATGGAACGCGTTCCAAGTTCATTCGCTCAATTTACGATGCAAAGCTCGCCAAGAAATGGAAATTCCGAAACTCAAAATTGCAATCATCTTCAAAAGTCAGTTTTATTAATTCTCTCGATTGAAAAAGTAGAGAATACTCTCCAAATTTCTCGGAGTAAAATTTCAGTCAGAACGAGTGGAAATTACTTTCACTCGAAGCGATAATAAAGATACTGTCTCTTAACATTTTGCCCGATATAACAAAAACTTGACGTGCTACGCTATTTTAAAGATCGTATCGGAAAAGATCGGTTTCAGCATGTCAAAGTGTATAAAAAATGATGGTTCTTCTTTCCAGTAAAATAACCTTTTTTTGTCCTTTATTTTTTTTATCTTATATAACTGTTAATTAAAAATTCTCTCTCTCTCGCGAGATACCTCGGTTTTTTGTCAGAATTAGATCTAGGTTTTTCAGTTGAATTATATGATACATGTGACATAATATCTGTGACATATCTTCACATATCTGTGACATTCAATCGCGATTAAACTGAAAAAAAACTCTCATTTAACTGATTTAACTCTGTTTAACTCTCATTTAACTCAGAGATCTGAGTACCTCACTTGAAAAAAGTTTCAAACAACGACTGTTAAGACGTGTTTAAATCTGGATGAAAATTCGAGCATCTCACATGAGAGTTTCATGTGACAACTATTAATACACGAGGGCGTTGGAGAGTACACTCTTCCCCGGTATCGAGATCTTCGGTATCGGAATACAGGTGACTCCGGACGAACCGCAACCGCTTTCTAGCGCGCTACGTCGCCTCCTTCTCCGGGCGATGAATGTTAATGACGCCACGAGCACACACCATCGCTCACGGCGCACGGAGTTGTCCGGAATATGAGCTCGATCGATGAGCCCGCTTCAGGTATCCTTGGCAAGAAGGGTAATTGCTTTACGTGCAAGTCCGCGAAAGTCGCAAATTCCGTTTCGCGGGTTTTACATCGCGCGGATCACGTGCTGATGGCTGTTTGCCGGAAGAAAAAAGAAAACATGACAGGGTAGGTCGTGAATTCTCGCGCGATTGTTGTCCGTGCGAATCCTTCGTCTGCTCTTCGTTCCGGAGGAATTTCCGCGATCATAAATTCGCGGCAATCGTCGTGTGGGCGATTTCGCGCGATCGCGAACGCTTGCCGCGGCGTCTCTCATAATATTGTCGGCCGATCACGCTTCTTTTACCACTCGGCGTGAGTTAGGTCAGTGCACGGTGGCATGATAATCGACGATAACAGTTCGTCGAGCTTGTCGGGAGGCTCGTATTACGCTCGCAATTATGTCACTCAATAAAGCGGCTCACTTATCGCCGCGAGTTATCGTCTCCGCATCGAGAGCGGATGCGTCCAACGTAAACTTGGCCTTGATTGAGGCAACCGTTTGATCGTGTGTCCAATGTCCGATCGATTGCGAGGATATACGGGATGCGTTCGCTTTTTACTGATACGTGAACTCCTCAGGTTTGACTTGGCCGATTTCGCGGAATAAGCGCGAATCTGCGCGCACGATAAGTCTGTTCTTTTGGCCGATCTGTGTGAACTCGTACACAATAGTGCAACAAATTAGAGTGAGACAAATATATTTTGTTTCACTCTAACTTATTGCAACAGCCTGCATCAGTTCAGACAGTTCAGCTAAAAAGAACAAACCTAAAAAATTGACGAATTCTAGTAGAGGCAAGAGAGATTGAGCTTAATGGTTCCTAACTTGAATAAAGGAACATACGAACAAACAAACACGACAAACATCCTACTTTTGAAGTCAGTTAAGAAGAGATGGAATGTGGATTCAAATTCGCGCACGACAGTAACACCGGTAACTGATTCGTACGGTAGCGATTCGATGCGTGCTGCACGCTGGAGTTCGCAAAGGTTGCATTCTAAAACGTCCTTTTTGAGGAAATTTTCGATAAAAATTCGATATTCTATAGTATATTTAACATAGATATTAAACTATAGATATTGAGTAAAATTCTCCTCAAAAAGAACGTTTTAGAATGCAACCTAATAAAGTCACTTAAATAAGAGTCTGGACATCACCAATTTTTTTTCCTTTTGACTGGTCTTGTTGCTTATTTGATCGAAGATGAATCACGAATTAAGATCTTTATTCGAAAAAAAATAACACATAATATTAATTGTACACAACAATATTTTCTTAATAAAATAAACATGTTTTTAGGGAAACAACGGTTATATTTATATTATATACACTAAAGGAAGTTCCTTATGAAAATTGAATAGACACCGTTCATACATAAAATTTCTAGTAACAAACCGGAGGTCATTTTCGATGAAGAAGTTGTCGATGTCCAGACTCTTACTTGAGAAACTCTAGAGTACACGTACGATACACACATTCGATCGTTTGTCGGTAAAGGGCGTCACGAGCCCGGCAGAAAGTAGGCCCCGCGATGTGTGTAATAACACTTGCCCGCGAAGCACAGCCAACTACCACCACCAACACTGTGGCAGACGTGGGTGTTCGCCGCGGCGCGTGAAATATTAACGGGCGCTTTTCCCGTCGTCGGTTGATGACCGTCACCACGGCTATATCGATTTGAAAAAAACATGCGGCACATGTGTTACCGGTGTTACGGTACTCGAGTCAAGGATACAACGCGCGCGCGCCTTCGCCTATGCAGCCCGTCGCGACGACCCGGCATCGTTTCGCCTACTTCGGGGATCGCATCGCGCGATTTAACGATTGCGCCTGGAATTCCTCGTACGAGGCTGCGCGCTCCGGTAGGCCCGATCTACAATAGATAGAGTAAGGAGTAGGAGTAAGAGCAAGGTGAAATGGAAATAATTTATTTCGCTTGTTCCCTTACTCCAATAAAAGTTTGCCCGTCTACATCACATGGAGTAAGCCTGAATTAAGTGGTAAGAGCTGGAGTAAGGAACTGGAGTAAGGGAGTAAGCGAAATAAATTATTTCCATTTCATCTTACTCCTACTCCTACTCTTTACTCCATCTATTGTAGATCGGCCGGTATATTCGCTTTCCAGTACTGGAAAGCTACAGTGTACGTCACGTGAACTGCAGATTTCCAGTACTGGCAACGAGTATCGGAACACACTTCGAGGAACGAAGACAAAAGAGTTGCGAATTCCTGCAAACGGTCAGGCAATGCAAATCGTCACTGTTGCCTGTTTATGACTATTCGTTTACATTTTCTCCTTCTTCTTTTCTTCTTTAATCAAGCTACGCGCTGGCAGTTCTTCTTGCGAACATTCATCATATCACTCATATCATTTCACTCGACCTGTCGCAATCGATGAATGATAACCGTTAAAAAGCTTCTTGCTTCTTTTTGTTTTTCTTTTTTTATTCAACCGCATTGCATCTCGCGAATATCCGCTGTATTTCATCCGAAAAGTCAAGATTGATTGTTTGCTCACTTATTCTTTTTTTCTCATTTTTTATTGTGTCAGCAAAGTGCAGTCGATACTGTGAAGGAGATTTCGATTTTGAGAGAGTTCATCCAAAATCCGTTTTCAAGCACTGACAAGAAGTCGCTCGGTCGTACCGAATATATTTAACTTTTGCTCCCTTCAAAAATGGAGAAATTCCTTTCTGCTTTATATGAATTATGAGTTATCGTGGTTTTGTAATAAACTAAAAATATGATAACATTGTTTGCTTATCATCGTTTCACGCGGCACATAATTTTTCGGCCATATCACTTAGTAAAATTTAGTATCATGTAATCTCTCTGCGGTGGTTATTCAGAAGACTAGTCACACTTCTTATGAAGGTAAACAAAGAAGATTAGCAACGAAAGACAGACGAATATATGATTCCACCCTCATTTTCTCGACACATCTGCCTTCGTTCAGACCTCCATTGTCTCATCTTCGTTCACTTTAGACTGAAAATTTACAAATGAAAAGTTTGATTTATCACGTACACACTCGTACGTTAAAATACCGAGAGTCATTCGGTATATGCGTTTAATACTGTTATAGTCATTATTATCCTCCCATTTTAATCTATTTCAACAAACATTGACCTTATCTCTCTTAATTATGTTATTTATACCTCTTTAGAATCTTAGATATATATTTAATTTTACGAAAAGTCTCCATACATAATGTGAACGTGTCCCCGTAGACATTCTCATCAGAGGTACGAAGAGGCGTCGAAATGGGAACGACAAACGCACAAGCAGACCCGAATCACGCGAGGAATGAGACGAAGGGTTGTAGCACAATCGACACGTTCTTCGCCGAGACGGTGATCCTTGTGACCGGCGCTACCGGCTTCCTGGGTAAAGCTCTGCTCGAGAAATTGCTACGCTCGTGTCCTCGCGTTGCCACGATCTACCTCCTTATTCGCTCGAAGAAGGGCCAGTGCGTCGAGGAACGCTGCAAAGAACTGCTAAAAAATCCCGTATGTAATTCCTAAATTTCTTCGAGTGAAACTCTATTCGAGGAGTCGATTGACAGCCGAATCGCTCGAAATCAAGCGTGACTCTTCGCTCGTATAAAGTGAATATTTTTGAATTTTGAACAGTAAATTCGGTATACTCGTAACGTCTCTGACTAGATTTAGATTTTATTTACTCGTATAAATTAATATGTTCGCTACAAGTGTCAGTATATTGAGTATTGATCAATGAAAATTCTTTTCGACTGAAATAACTGGCAAATCAGTAGTCAAAATTAGTTACAATCGTCATATATAAAATTATATACAGGATGCTCCAGAACAATCTTCGAAGCTATCGTGGAGGCATAGTACGGATTAAGGTGAATATAAAAGTTCTATACCATTTTGCAATATTCGCAGTAATTATTGAGATATTAATCAAAGAAGATTTGTGAACAAACACGCGAGATATGGTAGATGAGCTGTAGTGGCGACATTTACCGACTTATGCTTGTACATTAGGTTAAACTAACAAAAAAGTCTTCTACTTTTTTCCTAATAACTTTGTAGATTTTCAGTTATTAATTAGGTAACATTAATATATTATCGCGAGCGACTATCCGTCAATCTTCTTTAATTAATAATTAATGTTAATTAATTAATCAATAATTGAGGTTCACCTCAATTCGTATTATGCCTCTACGAGAGCTTCAAAAATGATTCTGGGACACCCTATATAATTTCACCGGTCGCGCGCGCGATGATATAACTTCATCGATTGATGAAATTATTGAATCGATTCAATTATGAAATCGACTGAATTATTAATCAAACTTCGGTATGATCGATTATACATTGATTAATAATTGATTTCATCAAACGATTAAATTATTCCTGATTACATACATGACGATTATAGGTTTGTTCGTTGACTTGCCGATCACTTTAGACAAGGAAAATTTCAATCAATCAATGTCCAACATGTGTGATGCAACGATTTCTCACGAAAGACCAATGTCATATATGTGTAACAGCGGAATTTTTTTTTCTGTGTCTATATTATCAAACAAAATTTATTGTACGCAATTACGTAAAAGAAAAAAATGATGATCTGCGAAACGGGTTCTCAAAATAGATTCTGACAATGAATATATTAATAATCCACTTTGAATTCATGACAATTAAATTACTCAAGGACAGACATATAATTGAATTGTTGGCTAACTTTACTAAGAGGCTGAAAAAATCAGTCATCAATCTTGTGATTTTTAATGGCGATTTTGAGTATTTCTTGTATTATAGCCTCGAATGAATTCCTCCATTTGTTCTGACCGAGTTGTCGCTTTGAAATTCTCTATTTGAACTAGACTAGAGTCATTTTTAAGGGTGAGAATATACATGCTCGTTTTTGGTCGAACATACATACTCCGAAATCTTGAATGTTTAATTTAACCCCGGGAACTTTAACACTTTGTTATGTGCTCGTATCGAATTAACATTTTTATAGGCATTTTTATAGACGTGACACTTCAACGCTCGGAGTCGATACGGAGTCTTTCACGTGTCGGAGCGATAAAGTTTCATGAATATCTTAAACAAAACAGAATCAACGCAAAGCAACGGAAACTTTAAGCAACTCTCGTTCTTGATTTGGTGTCCGGATTAGAGCCGCGTGGATTCTTCTTTGTCCGATTCCGATATTTCGCAAATCCGAAAACCAAATCTAATATTCACACACATCGCGAAAGCCTCAAATATCAAACTCTCGTTCTGTCGCAGGTCTTCGATAGAATTCGATTGGAATCCCCTAGTGTCTTGAACAAGATCGTTCCTGTGAAGGGGGATGTGGGTATGCCGGAGTTGGGCCTCCAGTCTGAAGACAAGGATATACTAATACAAAGAGTCAACATTGTGTTCCACGGCGCGGCTACAGTCCGCTTTGACGAGCCGCTCAAGGTGGCTGTTAATTTGAACACGAAGGGCACGGAACGTATACTGGATCTTTGCAGATACATGAAAAATCTCATCAGCGTCATTCACGTCAGCACGGCTTACAGTAACGCGGACCGACGGGAAATCAACGAAATAATATACAGGTGAGTCTCCTCGATTCCTCCGTGCCGTGATATTACATTTTTGGAGATTTTTACATGTCCAAGTGGTTTTTCATTCGTAAGATGAACTCATGACCCAACACAAACCTATCCTAGACAGTTATTGTTTTGGTCTTTAAATATAAATATTTAAACTTACAGTGTATAAAAAGATATATAAATACAGGATGTATAAGTACAGGATATATATAAGTACAGGATATCTTAGATCGTTTTTACAATCTCTTGCGAGGGCGTAGAGCGGATTGAGATAAACAAGAAATATCGTTTCGCAAAAATTGCAATAATGATCGAGATATTAATTGTAGAAAATTTGTGAATGATCACACACACACATGAGATGAACACTGTGGTGGCGACGTCTATAAAGACATATATAAAGACTAAAACAATAAGAATGTTCAGGATTAGATACGTGCTCGAGAATTTGTACTTTTACTTTATTATTTACCTTAGAGTGGATATTTCCACACGGAATTGAAGAGTGAATCTATAGTCAACTGTCCAACTGGAACAATTCACTCTGATCGATTGACGTATTTGCTCTTATATGATTTCAATCTCGTAGAAAATCCGCAGAATTTACTGATTGAATTAAACATTCAATCTCTTGTGATTGTGAGTAACGCTATTCCAAGTGCGATCTTGAATCATCACCTTGTTGTGACACAAATCCGCTTTGCAACTACATTCTATTTATCACTCGGTCGCATCGAGGGAAACGCCGTATCGGGATCAAAGGGGCGTCCGCATATTTGCAACGGTTAAAAATGGAAGTATGCAGGTCATAGGTACGAGCGAAACGCTTTTACTTAGAGATACTCGGTTCGATACTCGGTGGGTGGCGTGAGGAGAACGCGCGATGACTAGGGCTGCTATAAGTGCGCGTTCAGTAACGATCACTTCTCGCTTGTGATACTCCTATCGCATATATCGGATTGTACTTCTGTGTTGACTATTTAAAGGCCACAATCATTTCACGAAAATCTTTAATTAAAAGATGAGTTTGTTTAGTGGCCCCTGAGGAGTCTACGGCGTCCTACGTCCCTGAGTGTTCACTCAGGGCGCTAAGGGATTGGCAGATTTAATTGATTAATATCTAATTAACTAATTGTCGGATCCAAAAATGGAAGAGGAACTTTCAGTTCCAAATTGCACTCCCTACCTACCCTTAACGGGTGTTCTACCAGTTGTAAGACTTTGTATATATTTATATAAATATAAATATAAATATAAATATACTCTTATATCACATTTTATAATTATACATACATTATATCCAAGGTTGGTAACGTTACTTTATAAAAGTAACTCGTTACCGTTATTTTCTCTAAAATGAAACTCGATACAAATTTTAAAAAGTAACTCGTTACAGTTATCGTTATTTAAAAAGTAACGAATCGTTACTTTTTCGTTACTTTTTTAAATGCTAAAATAAGACGGCAGTAACTACTAATATAATTATGAGTTTGATAAGGAAAATGGACGAGAAAGAGAGGGAGAGAGAGATTTATGTGGAATATAGGTATGAGATAGAATAAATTGAGATATAGATATATCTGATATACAGGGTGTCCCGTCACTACCGCATTATCTCTTAAGGACAGATTCCTAAGGTAATTTGAAGAAAAAAATCCTAATGTAAAAATGTCGAGGCTATAATACTTTTTAAATTATAAACGATTAAAGTCGACCAATTATATTGGCTAAAGTACGCGCGCTCAGGTACGGTACAATACACAATGGTACAGATGCACATAAGTGAGAATTGCATAAGATATGAAATCAGTTGTAAACCCCTGAAAGAAACGTCAAATGTGTAACAGCTTATTAATTCTCATAAATGTATTGTGTGACATTTTATTCATAACATTTTGACGAGATATTATTTGCAATATATTTATTTAAATGATAAAAAAGGCACATTATTATTACATATATTGTTGTATGTATAGAATTTCCGTATCAATATTTGTAAAAGGGCGACATGTGCATGCACCTGTATCACTGTGTGTTGTACCGTACCCGAGCACGCATACTTTAGCCAGTATAATTGGTCAATTTTAATCGTTTATAATTTGAAAAGTATTATAGCCTCGCCATTTTTGTATTAGGATTTTCTTATTCAAATTACTTCAGGAATCCGCCCTTAAGAGATAATGCGGTAGTGACGGGACACCCTGTATATCTGAGATATATCTGATTATCGCTCGTCGCATATCGCGTGTCGCGTCGTACATCGCGCTGGTCTGTGAGAGAGAGAGAGAGAGAGGGAGTGAGGAAGTCTTTTTTATAGGCAAACAGTTTTCTTATTTTCATAACTATCAAAATATTGTATTGATTTTCGATGTAATATTAAAAAAAGGTACGCCAAGTGCTTTTTGTGTAAATTATTATAATTTTTTTTAACATTATTGTATTTCTCTAATTATTTTATTTTTTATTTAATAATATATTAATAATATAATTAATTTATAAATATATAGCCAAAACCACATATGTTTATAAAAGTAAAAACTGAAATGATTAATCATTCGTACTTGGCATAAACCTCTTGATATCATTACTTTTGTAGAAAGTATAAAATTGTTTTGTATTTCTCAATAAAGTATTTGCGAGAGTACAATTGATTTGAATAGATTGTTTTAATAATATTTTTTTAAATATCTTTTAGCTGAGCTAAAAGATATTTAAATGTAATTTATTTATAACGATTTTTTTTTGTAAAGACAAATAATGCTAACGCGCGTGCACTTGGTTTTTTTTTTACTTTTTTTGAAAAAGTAATTTTGTTTTTTTATTATTACTTTGAGAGCATATTAATTTAAAGTGGATACTATTCTTTTTTCTGTATATGGATATAACAAGGAGAACTAAATATTCTCTATCTTTCTTTCTCTCTCTCTCTTCCTCTCTCTCTCTCTCTCTCTCTGTGAAGACCTGAAAATATTATTATATATTAATCGAGTAATTTTATTAGGAACCTTATTATTTTATTAATGATTTGACTTAATAAAAAAGAAGCGTATCATAAATGATCGGATACTAATGGGCTGTTAATGGGTTAATGCAACACGTATCTTACGAAGTTGAGTCCGCTTTTTCCGCAAAAGATGCTCGAGGAGCATTTTTTATTCGTTTTGAGCATCACTATGTTACGTGCTTCTCAAGTATTTTTTTAATTTCACAGCACGAAGGTAAAGCCGCACACGGTGATCGACATGTGCGACAATCTCGACGACGAGATGATAAATATAATAGAGAAAAAGCTGGTTGGCAAACATCCGAACACCTACACGCTGACAAAGGGCTTAGCGGAACAAATTGTGCTGAGTAAAGGGACCGATTTGCCGATCGCGATTGTACGACCAAGCATCGTGTGCGCCGCTTATCAGGAACCATTTCCAGGCTGGATAGATAATGCATGCGGTATTACAGGTATAATCTAGTTGCGCGAATGAGCGATTGCTTGTCAAGATGGATACGTGTTCCATCATAGTTGACAGAGACTTATTAGAGATAAACAGAAATGTGATCAGCACGATATGACTCACGTAAATGATTACCAAGTCTTGTTTTTCCGAAAACTATCAGAAAAATTCCTCCATTTTACTAATATAATTCTGTATATTCCATCTTGTATTTTATTTTACTTTATTCTCTTCTCTCTTCTTCTTCTGCACACAAAACTCTTTCAAACAAATTTAACATAAAAATTTTAATTTCGAAATGCACTGATTTGAGAGAAATTAAAGAACAAAAGTAATTACATTTAAAAATCAATAATTTTAAATGGATAATACATATAAGAAAGATGTCCACTTGTGCTAATTGTGTTTTCAATCGATTGATTCTGTTTTATACTGAATAACGGTACTAATCAGTGAATAATTTTTTGTATTACATTCGGCAGGTATAATGACGGAGATGGGCAGAGGTACCGTGAGAACTATCATTTGTGATGAAAATCTGGTGGTAGACGTAGTACCTGTCGATTACGTCATCGATACACTGATTTGCGCGTCTTGGCACAACGCCACTAAACGCACCAACGTGATAAAAGTTTACAATTGTACCAGTAGTACGATGAATCCCATCAGGTATTTGAGCATCTCATGAAAAATCGTCGAAATTTCTCTACGAACGACTGGAGTAGCTAAAAAGAGTAAATACGTCTGTCGTAGTTGGCGCGAGTACGGAATACTACTGAAGAAGCACGCGATACAGAATCCGTCAAAATACGTGATGTGGTATCCTGGTTTTACGTTTAGGACAAATAAATTTCTTCACTCTATTATAGCAGCCACGTTGCATGTAATACCCGCATTCGTCCTGGACCTTTTAATAAGGGTTAAAGGTGGCAAACCGATGTGAGTACTACTTCATAGCTTGGTCGTACAATTTTGACAATGTCAATAACCTCCTTTCCTCTTTTTCTTTTCCTCTCAGAATGATGAAGATTGTCAAACGATTCGAACGCGCGGCTCAAACGGGAGAGTTCTTCGCGACGAACGAGTGGAAATTTTACTCTGACAACATGATAGAGCTGATAAAATTCGTGACAGCGTCGGAGAATTGCAGCGACTTTAACTTGGATTTCCGAAATCTGGACTGGGACAAGTATCTGCGTCAGTATATGTTAGGAATTCGGAAGCATATTTTGAGGGACGACCTGGACACGTTGAATAAGGCGCGAAATCGTTTGTCAAAGTAAGTCTCCAGCAAACTGACCTGGTTCCACGTTCATGATGGAGAAATAAGTAAATAATTTACTTCTTACAGGCTGTACTGGATACACAAATTAACCCAGATACTCAATGTACTCGCGTTAGTATGGATGGTCAGGTCTGCCTTCCGGTGATATCATCGAGAAGTTTTCGTACGTTCGCAAATCGCGATTCGTGCGACACAACGTATGCCGCAAAAATGTCGCAAGGACAAATACGTGATTTATACATGGATGAAAATAACTTACGCGCAAGAAAAGAACGCAAATTGTCACATTTAGTTCTTGGGATTGATTGTCGTCGGACACAAAATCGCACGTGAAAAAGAAAAATTAAGATTTAAGAAAGAAGCGAAGATTAAAACAGATTTTTTTCTATTGCTCTTAACAGTCAGGATTCTATTTGCACGTTTAAATCGGAGAACGCGAGAGAGAAAAAATGGAGAGAAGAAGAGTTCTCTTAAAATGCAGTAAAATCCGTCACGTTGGTTTTTTTGTATCTTTTAAAATTTATACACTGTGTAAAAGTTTTTCGGGAATACATACATATAGATTCACTCTACTGAAAGGTACTCTCGTTGAAATCGAGATTATTGTGGATTACGACCTCGTACTCTGCATCTCACGATATTAAAATACCAAGCAGGTCTTTCGAACACTTGTTGGACCAACTATTATACACGAATATTACGTCCCTACCAATTACCCAGATAGAAAAATGTGTTCATTCTGAGCTCATATTGTATTCATGTATCTTCAAGACATGAAGACAAGAATAGACACCGATGCGGGCTCATATGCGCCTCAGAATGTAGACATGTTATGATGTCACAAAAATACCTCATTTAATAATAATAATCTATATCATGTCAAGAATTTACAACATAATTTGTACATCATTTGTGTGCATTTGGTACTCATGTCATGAGATCACGTAATGATCTTTAAAAAAGTACCAAATTGGAGTCATAGTATGAAGTCACATTGTGATGAAACATGATCATCACGCATTTCTATCTGGGTAACTAACTTTAAATAGTACAATACGAATGATGGAGAGGTTTATTCGATTCGCATCGTTACAGTGTATTGTAATTTTAATGGGATATTCTGAAAATGACATAAGATAAATACACACACGATGTACCTAATTCTGCGTTGCCTTACAGATTAACATCGATATCGAGGACGAATTATTTTTGCTAATCTACTTATTCTTACGGTAACCACGATCGAAACGGTTGACTCTTTTATTGTATCACGCTCGCAGACGAATGAGAGGGGGTGGTATTGAATGAAGTAGCTAACATTATCCCGTTTGCGAATCTATAGTAGGAAACTGTAAGCGCGGCGTCGATAGAGAGCTATCACGTTTATAGTGCAAGCTTTTTACAGTTCGCATTAAATACGTTGATGAAATAGCCTCCGTATTGCGGAGTAAAGATGCGGGTGTGTGAAAATGTACATTTGTATATTGTAAATGAGACATTTAGTATACATACATATATAAATATTTCATGTGTATATACGTATTTGCAATTTTTAATTCCAATGTAGTGGAATTATTGTATACAGGTTAGTTTATCATAGACTGCATGCTTTGATTTGAGTTTACATATAGAACCTCGTGATCGATTAATTCTGAAAATATTTCACACATGATAGAAATCGTAATAGAAATTATACGATTACTGCGTTATCGAATAAATTACCGTTGGATATAACTCAATCAAGGAAGAAACTATAACGTACGTTACAGTGTAATGTGTAACAGTCACAGTCAAACAACATAAACTAATGTCCAGAAGACGTTCTATTTTATTTACTGATATTTTACACGTATTTCAGACGTCCTTTACATATATTTCAGACGTCCTTAAGACATCTTTTGGAAGTTTGTGCTATCTAGACATCGTCAAGTGAGAAATTATAACATTGACGTAATATTATTGTTGGTTAGTATTTACTGGGTTTGAAGAAGACAAAGTTTTCCTTCCTCACACATCTGAAGTATAACAGAATTACGATTTTAGTTTAACAAGCGTGATATTTCTCTCGACGTTCAAATTGTTCTTATGCGTCTAACAATGTGTATAAGTATATACACCTCAATTAAACAACGGAATCGTTGTTCGAATTCGTTAAGCGACCTCATAATTTTATACAAATCAATGCGCATAAAACTGTTTTAATACTTTTGTCATATGTCAAACATGTACAAGATTTATAATTACATGAAGGGTATTTTATGTGACTTATTCTCTTTCATAAAAATGCATTTCTCTTCGCTTTAGCTGCGTTTCTTACGTTCAATAAGCGTAACAGGTGCGTATGTGTGTATTCAAGGTATTTTTTATTTTTAACGTGTTTGTTCTGAAGTGGACATATCAACCTGATGAAAAATTCGGTTCTGCGACTGTTAATCATGATTATTGTCAAGTAGTGAATAGTTTGCTATACAAAGGAAAAAAATTAGAAACAAAAGAATATTTATTCAGGGGATACTAATAGCATATTTACTTACACTCTAATATCAAGTATTTTTAATTAACTAATGTCAGATATTTTTAATGAAAGAAATATATATTTTCTTAAAATCTTAGTCTTTCATGAAAGCCGTTTGCTCTGTTTGAATAAAAGGATTTAGATTTAAGTAGATTAGTATCCGCCGTATAAATATAAATTTTATATTTTAAGTATTCCTATTTTTAAATAATTTTTCTCTTTCTCAGTGTACAATATATGATTGACTGAACGTAGTATACATGGACCCCGCATACGGCCAGAAAAGTGAAACCAATATGTACAGCCCCTCTGTGTTCTCTGTCTCTTTCTGCACAGACGAAATGTGTAATAAAATTTAAGTAATAGCGTGTTCGACTGGCCCTGGGTTAATCGCTCCAATTAATGACGTCATAAGTCTCTACTAGCCAATCATAAAGCTTATAAGTACTTGTTCGACAATAAACGTAGGCTGCCCTAATAGCACACAATGTTCAGGGAACGTCCAGTGGATATCCATAGAACATAAAATGTCCTCTGAATGTTTTCTGGATGTTCTCTGGACGTCTTTTGAACATGCGTGCTATTAGGGTGAATAACCCAGAGCCAGTCGAACATGCTATAAGACTTTTACTTGCCAGTCTAGTCGAGTGCTGTTGCATTCTATAGGTTTGTTCGCGATGTCCGACGTACGACGTCCGATATCCAATAAGAGAACAGCTTTCTAATAGAGAATTCAATTCTCCATTGGAAAGCTGTTCTCTTACTGGATATCGGACGTCGTACATCGGACATCGATGCGGTGTGAATCCTCCATTAGGTTTGTCCATTAGGTTTTCTCTCTCTCTCGTTCCTGGGCCTTTATTCTTGAAATAGTTGCATATACGTAAGTTTTACTGCGCAGCTATTTTATGGTATGATTAAACCTGCGCAGTAAAACTTATGCAACTATTTTAAGAATAAGGGCCCTACACTGCTGAACTGGTGTAATAAGCTGAAAAGATCAGACCAATGGACTCCGAATGCCTTTGTTCTGTCGTGGACTCCGAATGCTTTTGTTTTAATTAAGTGAAGCCAATATCTAGAGAGAGAGAATAGAGGGGCTATATTTTTCTTCCTATTTTGTCACTTTTTTATCGCGCGTGCATCCATTTCTCGTTTCCATAATATTACAATTTTTCTGTTTGAGTCTGTTTTCTGTTCCTGCACTGTTGAACTGGTGCAATAAGTTAAAGTGAGACAAGTATATTTTTTCTCGCTCTAACTTATTGCACTAGTTCAGCAGTGCAGCTGAAAAGAACAGACCACATATGATACTATGTTCATGTTGGCTGCATTCAGCAGACTCGACAGTTGCACACAGTTGAACAATTCGTCAATATAATTGGTCTAGATTTAAGGATCTAACAATAAGAACCAATAATCGCTGATTGCTCATTGAGCGCTTTTTCCGCCAAACACGCCCTATGACTCCGATTGGTTGATTCCTTTATGCATTATGCGTTATGCAAAAGTCATGGCCCAAAAACTCGCGCGCATCGAACGATGCAGCCGCGGCGTCTCGCAGATGTCGCGAACACGCGAGCGGCTGATGGCATGGCGCATCTCGTCCAGTCTCGTCACCGCCGGTTCATGACGCGCAATGCTGATCGCATCTAACGTCTGTATCAATATAATGAGCACATGGAAATTGATACAGCGACGGTGTTACGATCTGCTCTCGTACAAGTACTCCTTGCTCGTGATACTGTTGGCGTTCACTTGCATATTTATCGGCATAATACACTTCGGAGAGGTTAGAATAACGCTCCTGTTGCTGCACGGATTACTTATTCCCTCTTTACGCGCACTGTAATGATTTGCGCGATGATCACCTAACGCGAATATCGCTATCCCCGAACACGTCAGTCTCTCGATCGAGGTCTCGTTACTTCCACGATTGCATGTACAGTATATCGTTGTCGATCTTCACGTTCTTATCAACGCGCGACGTCTCCGACATCTCAGTTAACTGTTCTGTATTCCGCAGGTGTGGTTGACATGGAGCAAGGAGAAGTACGAGGCGGTCTTTCACTCCTTCAATGACAACATCTTGGGGGTTTCCTTCCAAAAGAAATTGTGCCAGCACGTCCCCGTAGACGTGGTTTACACATGGGTGAATGGGTCCGACCCACTGTTCCTGGAGAGTCTCCGCAAGCACGTCCCTGTCGTGGATCTCAGTGCTGCAGCCTCGAGATTCAATGACAAGGATGAGCTGCGCTATTCACTGCGCTCATTGGAGATGTATGCGCCTTGGGTGCGGCATGTTTACATTGTCACCAACGGCCAGATACCGAGTTGGTTGGACATGGATAATCCACGAGTAACCTTGGTCACTCATGAGGATATTTTTCTGAATAAAAGTGATTTACCAACTTTTTCTAGTCCTGCTATTGAAAGTCATATTCATAGGTGCTTGGAAATATATATAAACACATATGTTACATGCAACGATAGGCATGGAGTTGTAACAATGTCTTTCTCCCAGGATACCTGGAATATCAGACAAATTTTTATATTTTAATGATGATGTTATGCTGGGTGCTGAAATATGGCCAGAGGACTTTATCACTCAAGCAGGTGGACAGAAGGTGTATCTGGCTTGGTGGGTTCCTGATTGCTCCGAGGTTTGTCCGTGGGCATGGGTCGGTGATGGATCGTGTGATCATGCTTGCAACACGACATTATGCGAATTTGATGGTACATAATAATCCAAAAGTGACTTCCTCTAAATCTAGAAATAATTTAAGAATGTCTGAAGATAAACTCAAGTAATCCAAATAATTCAATGATGATCTTCATTTCTATAATGTAAAAATGAAAGTAAATAATTTAAAAGTAACTTCTCTTTTAAACTTAATGATCTAAAAATAATGTAAAGATAAATTAGGAATTTAAATAATCCAAGTAACCAAAATGTGTGTGATGATCTTCATTTCTATAATGTAAGAATTGATGGTGAATAATTTAGAAATAACTTTGCCTCTAGACTTGATATTCTATAAATAATTTTAAGAATCTAAAAACAATCTAGAAATTTAAATAACTCAAGTAATTTTAATGATCATTTTCATTTCTATAACTTGAAGATTTACAATATGACTTCATGCAGGTGGAGATTGTCAATCTACTGTGATTCCATTCGATAGCGAAGCGTTGGAAGAAGAGAACGACTACCCGTACAAGTATCTGCAGGACTCGCGTGAGATCAACGGGCTGAAATTGTTGGACATCTTGCGCAATAAAAACCGCAATAGTTCACTATGGAACGACACGAAGGCGTCTACGATTCAGGCGTTACTCGCATATGATCTCAGCACCTCTAAGTTGCCAATTTTCGCGTTGGGCGATCTTAAGAGTATTAATCTCCCGAAATCACGAGGACGACGCGAGGCGAGCGTGCAAATTGACGACGGAGAGGACGGTAGAGTGAGGAATTCTTTATATGCCAAGCTATCGCGTAGAAGCATCTCGGACAAGAACGCGAATCGTACTGAACAGTCGAAGCGAAGCCATCTCAACGACGACATCGTGAATCCGGCGCGGCCCAACGCGAAGTTCGGCAAGTTTGCGTACTCCAATCAATGGCGGCACAATGCTCGAGGACTCGACACCTACGCGGAATCCTTGCTATACGTCAACAAGATCTACAACACGGTTTACGGATTCGAGCGGAGGCGAGTGCCGGCGCATATGCCGCACTTGATAGACAAGTGGGTCGTGATGAGCATGCAGCAGAAATTCGAGACTGAATTCAAGAAAACATCTAGTCACCGAGTAAGAGATCCCGAGGACATGCAGTTCGCCTTCTCTTATTTCTACTTTTTGTCCAGCGAGAAACGAAGAGTGTCGATCGAGGAGATATTCGACGCGTTCGACACCGATAAATCACGGTGAGAAAACGCAGCGCGTAAACCAAATCGCCATGTCGTGGATTTCCGCTGCTGAAGTAAGAAATAAAATGTGCAATTATTATTTCCAGAACTTGGTCGGACAGGGAGATAAGGACACTTCTGTCAAGACTGTATCCACTACCTCTCGACTATAATCTAGTCATGGAATTCGAGAGCGCGATCACAAATTGCTCGCGTCGCGCGAATCTACCGGAAATCATCGATGTCCCACCCGGTGAGAGATACTTGGACTCGACTCTCGTAAGTTGAAGATGCTGTCGATACCGGTTGCGGTCGATTACTATACTTTCAGCTGCGTAATTCCCCCTGCTTCTTTACAGCCGGTAGTTTCTAAAGAACTGATATCGAACTGTGAAACAGTTTCTAAGAGAATGCGCTCGAGATTCGGCGTGAGTAGCCGGTACTCGCACGAGGTAATCAAAGCCGGCAAGAACGAGATCTTCGACATGTTGACGAGCAACGTCTCGTTGACGGTGCAGCTACTTGATGAGATTCGACGAGATCCCAAGTACGTATCACACGTCACACTCCTGCTCCCGTCGACACGACTCTAAAGCACGTGTTGAAGTAGATATTAGACATTGATGATTATAGAAATTGAAATGTTGAGATTATTATTATTATTATTAATAAGGGAAAAGAGAAAGGGGGAAGAGACGTGTTGTCTTTCTTTCAGGAAGTTCATTTGCTTGAACGACGACATGGATCCCAGTCGGCACTCCGAGAACGAGGTCGTTCGCGCTCTGCTGAACGACTTCTATCGTTCCTTGTATCCGTTACGTAGCAGCTTCGAGTTGCCGGCGCAATATCGGAACCGTTTCTCCCATCGGCACGAGTTGCTCGAGTGGAAGGCGAGCCGTGCAAAGGCCAGGAACTTGCTACTGTGCCTGGTGACTCTACTGCTCGCTCTCACGTTCTACCACGTACTCTTCCATCACATGCGGAGACTATGCAGAATTCGAGAGTTACCTACACTCCTCGTGTGAGGAATAACCGACGCGATATAAGAATGAATTGCAAATATTAGTCAAATATTACGATTAAACGTTTTTCAATCGGACAGGATCGGGATCAGGACGAGGATCTTATCCGGTAAGAACTTCCAGTGTCGTTTTCTAAAACTAGATAAAATGATATACCTCTGTGATACGGCGAATAAACAGTTTTTGTAATTACATTTTAATAAAGAGTTCGATTCTATCGAAAACGTTGAAACCGCGCGGTAAACGAGTGATATTGTATAAGTGTATGTATGTCTCCTGTGCGAATTATATACAGCGTTTCTACGTCACGGTTATGTTCTACGTATATACCGTGACGCATATTATCCCAGATCTACCCTCAATCGCTGGTGCAAGGGTGGACACTCCGTGTGTCGGATATTCCGTGGACCGACCATACCCTCTTGAAGCCTTGCGCACTCAATCATCCACGCCGCTACGCTCGCGATTTGTTCGATTGACAGACGCGCTCCTATACCTGTATTTTGAATTTCAAATTCAAGAATAAATTCCAGCAGATTATCGGGGTGATCAAGCAGTGTGTATTAATATTGAATTTTCGAGTCTGGATTTTGGAGAATGTTTATTCTTCAATTTTCTGACAGCATTCCTATACCTCATAGAAGATTGCCGTCGAAGAAAATGGAAAATCGAACTAAGCTTCTTGACTGACCCAATTCTACAAGCTCGCGACTGATGGATATCTTTTAGCATGCGCTTTATAGACTTGACGACATGATCGCTTACCCGGAACATTCAGGCGACACACGGCTTTCTCCGTTTCGGAGAAGATACTCCCGTCGCTGTTACTCGCATCCTTTGTGCCGCAGAATCTCTCACCGATCGCGTTATCCTTATCCACGCAATCTCCGCCAATCAAAACGTCCAATTTCTCCTCCTTTTCCAACGAACTGCTCTCTATCGGTTCCATCGATAGGTCGGCTGCGGAAGGAAGATATGAATATGTAAAACCAACTTAGCTAGTGATGGAGAGACAGACATCGACAGAGGGGATAACGTACTCTTAGAATATGAGTCGACCTCGTCTTTAGACATCGACTCCAGATCCAGATTAACATCCGCATCGGTGTCCTGACTGTTTATGGAGGAAATGTGATGGGTAGAACTGTCCTTACGCGTGCTCATCTCTTCGTCGCAGGAACTCTTCTCGCTGTCGTCGCACGGGAGTCCCGCCAGGTACCTGCCGGTCATGACAGAAACGTTCAACCAGGAGAAAAGTCAGAAGAATGTCACTAAGTTCTGTCGACTTACTAATTCGTCGCGCAACACGCGTGTCTTCGAATACTTACTCGTATATCTCCATAAACAGATTGAGCGGAATCATCGCGGAGCCGCCGTCCGGCTCATGACTGAACAATTGGCAGACCATGATCATCGTCTCAGTGAGGTTGCCGCCAAGGAGGCCCACCGCGATAGCCAGGAACTTCTTCACCTGACAACCACGGCGAAACCTGCCGATCGATGTGATCGTCTCAAAATCCCGACGGTCCAGGCAGAGGCAGTCCCAACGGCGCGCGATCGTCTCCAGAGGCAGAGTCTTGTTGTAATCTGTGACAAGAAATGAAGATGATCGCAAAAAATTATTTTAGATAATCTATAATTCACAACAGGATTAGGACAAGATTCTACTCGTAGAAGAAGACGTTGGGAAGATAAAAATAAGAGATAAAAATAAATCTGCTAATTAAAATGTACAAATCTACCAGGAATCTGAAAGTTTCTTTGTTTTTCACTTATGTTTCTCTGCGTTTTTCTTCTTCCTTATTTGCGTTTCTCTCTGTAAATTTGTAATTAGTAATTGTAAATGACTAGTTACAAATTTGAAGGAAAACACAAGTAGAATTCTACTTCCTAATTGTCTAAAGTAGATTCTTGTTCTTCGTATTCTTCTTCTTTATAAGCTGAGGAATGTCTATTTCAGAGCGATGTCGTACTTCCGAATTGTCGCAGCAACACCCTGAGGAAGCCCAGAGTCAAGCCAGAGGCGGTGCTCGGCGGCGGGTACTCCAGTCGCGACTTAGCCGGTGGCTCCTCGCCGTCCGCCAACGCGCGGAAATATGAGCTGGACCACTTGAGCAGATCATAAGGTTGCGTACGGATAGCGGCCTTGCAGAACTGCTTCAAGATCATCGGCAGCTTGGCCGGGACGGCGATGTCCCTGCCTGACAACGGCAGTTGTTCAATGTAGGACATACTTACGGCAACGTCGTTCTCGCGGCGAATTCTCCGTTCATTGTTGTGTTCGTGCGAGGCGCTGTGGTTACCTGGGAAACCGACGATGATGGGATCTACTTGCGCGAACGCGCAAGCTGTAAAAATGATTGCGCACTTGTCGTTCGCTAAGTAAGGAACATTGTTGCATTCAAGCATCAAGTAGTATAGCTTTTGTGATCAGACAGTCTTCTGTTTCTAGTTGCAGTTGGAGAGGTCTATTCGAACGAACACGTCGTTGTCGAGAAACAAAGACATCTAATCCGTCGTCAAGTCGTAAATTGAAACTCACGACGCATTTAATATATAGTTTTTTTGAACGACAATAAGCAGAAATAAACTGTAACTTGCGCGAAAATAATGATAATAATATGATTCAAGAAGCATTTTACAACTACCCATACAGCACAAAATCTCCTGGGGACGTCCCACAGATGTCCTGAGGGCGTAGAAACGTCCCCAAGACGTTCTCAGGACGTACTCTGGACGTCTCCTAGATATTTGTGCTGTTAAGATAGAGTTTCTAGGCATTTTTTTAAATATAACGTTTATTTTCCACGGTATCATGTGAACTGACTTCTGACGAAATTTTTGTAAAGTACTTTATAAAATTCGACGAGCAGCAACATGTAAGCAAAAAATCGCACACTAACGACGTTAACGCCATTCGAAAGCGTGAAAATTCTCCTTTAATTTGCGTATTCGTACATTCCCATATAGCACAAATGTTCACTAAATATCTAAGAATATTCGAATATTCTTAAAACGTTCTTAGGATATCTAGTGAACATTTGTGTTGTATGGGTTGCGATATGATTTTCCTTTATGGAGTTACTAAACGTTAAAGCAAAATCTTATGCTCGGTTTATTTATAAAAGACCAACGAATTCATGTATTGGTATTGATATCTGAGGTACTAATCATCGAAGGTGGATCTTTCTCTGCTCGGCTAAAGATGATTAGAATCTTTACTAAGAGTAATTCAAATCTTGTGATTTTGCAAATTAATTTGGGAGTCTCCGCTACGAGGCGCCACCTGTTACTCAACGACGACCGCGCACGTAGTACGACTCAACGACAAGTCAGACGGGTTCTATTATTTTTCAATAGTACAATCCAACAACGGAATTCCTATACGCGGCTTGACTTCATATTAATAAACAGTGTGTCGCACAACGTGCACGTGTGCAAGGTTTGCGAGGCAATCCACGCAGCTTTCACGAATCGTCCGCCACATACAGTTTGGAATTGGTGTAACGGAAATTTGCACAAGCGTATGTGCAGTACGCAGACTATATTTTTTTACCCAACGTTCGATCGAATAGGTGGCAGCGGCAGCGTGTGTCCATTTATTCATACGTAAAAAATGGCGGATTGCAAGGGTGCGTTTTTCTGCTTCTCTAAATTTAATTACGTGTTCATATCGTGCGCATGTTGATATTGTGAAATAATATCGAGAAAAGTACTGTAGATTCTTTGTAAATGTAACCTAGACCGAGCTACAATGTAGCAGTTTTTTTTGCAAAAACTTCGTCCATATACGTGCTCGTGAGGCGACGAGCTAACCGTTCGCGAGGACGATTTTAATCGTTTGTTTGTGCTGTATTTAGAGAGTGCAGAGCAACCGGGCCATTCGTCGCTCATCCTGAAAGTCGATCCGCCTGAAGACTCCTCGAAAAGCTCCGCCGAAAACTCGGAACAGAGTAATTCAACCACGTCGACCGACCGAGGTACAAGGATTCTCATTATTGAAATATTAATATCTTATGTTGCTCAAAACTGCGCTGCTCCTGACAACGGATCACGTTGAATAATTCCACCGTATGATTCTGTAGCTTTAACTATATGCAAAAGTACATAGTTTAAATATCATATTCCTCTGAGAAAATGTTTATTGATCATCAATATTAAACACTAAGAGACATATGTAATGTTTCAAACTTCACACTCCACTGGATATAAGCATTTTTCAGGAAGTGATCTCTAATGTGTTCTAACTACTTCTGAGATAAATCTATTAAGTCAGAAGAAACTCATTTAAGGTGACAAATATGACTTCTATCAATCATATGACAGAATTTTTCTTGTTTTAAAACTTTATGGAAAATATCTGTTCACATTAATGTCTGTTATATTTTGTTGACAATGTTTAAGTTAAAAAAGAGAAAAATTGATAGAGAATATATCTAATCTTACACATATGTGCCACAATCTTTCTGAACAAATTGAGAAGTACAGAAATATTCTATCTATATCTTCAAGATATCGAATTGGTATCATTTTTTCTAACACTGCAATGGAACATATTTAAATGCTTACTAATACAACATATGTTTTGTAGATAAAGTAGAAGATCAAATGGCCCAGAAGCCAAGTGATCACGAATCGACGCTTGTAGCTGTTAATTCTTCTACTAAAATAAATTGTGAGTTTATACAAGCAGATTTTGCATATAGCTTAAGAAACAAGATTCATCATATCAAACATGGTGTATTGTGTATTAATTTTCATGTTGTATGCTTGCAGGTGTGCTAGCCGCTTCAAAACTTGGCAATTCATTTGGAGCAAATGAATCTTCAAATATTGTAACTAGTAAATCAAAGTCATCTATATTAAGGCCGTCACAACTAAGCTCAGTTACCAATAGTTCTTTAGCTAACGACAAGAACGTTCTGCAGCCTTCAAAATTTAACAATCCGTTCACAAAAGTTACTGACAATTCTATAGAAGAAGAAGACACATCTGCAACGCAGAGCAATAAAGGCGAGTTGAGCAAAGATATTAAGGACGAAGAGAAGCCCGCGGAAGAGGCAAAACCGAAATTTTTGCCTCTGGACATAAGCACGAAAGAGAACGAGAACAATGTAAATAGCACTATGGCACCCAGTGCCTCCACTCCTAGCTTTGTCTTTGGTCAGAATTTAAAGGAACGTGTCACTGTTTCGACTGATACAGAAAGTTCGGACAATTCGGAGAAGGAAGAAGCGAAGAGTGAAACGAAAGAGGAGACCAACGAGAACGGATCGTCCGAACTTCTGTTCTCAAACGCAGCTGCGGTTTGCCGTGCCACCGTCAGGCCAGGTTTAACGTTAAGCCAGGCGGCGCAGGCGCTAGAAGAGGCTAACCGCGCTAACAAGAGAAAATATAATCAAGTGACACTGTTGACCGGCGAGGAGGGCGAAACGAACGTTCTGCAAATCAACTGCAAATTGTTCGCGTTTGATAAGGTATGTGTATCCTTCAGAGATTATTATTGTTAATTTAACTGCATTATTATTATCAATTGCTGCATAGTTTAGAGATTATTAAGAACTCTAACTCTAATTATATAACTCCAATTATATTAATAGACTGAGGATTGTTAATGGAGAAAATAGGAATCACAAAAGTAGATAAATTATATGTTTATACATTTTTAATGGGTAATATAGACTATTAGGGATCGTCTGCAATGTGGCTGCAGTTACGTTTTGAAGTCATAGCATTAGTCTATTGATCATGCATCTATTTCCTTCTCATAAACTCCTGAAAAGTGAAAAGTTTCATTGAAGAATTCAATAAAACTCTATTTTTTATGAGTTAGGTTTAAGAAGCAAAATTCAGAATGCCGTAGTGGTCATCAGTGACCAACACTATGGTATTGCTCGTTAAATTATCCACAAAGTATTATTTAAGCTACGTTCAGCTATTCACTGCCAGTATTGAGCATCTATAGTTTATGTTATACTAAATTATAGATTTCCAGTATCGGCAATGAATATCGGAACGCAGCCTAAAGCTTTTGAATACTCGTCGCAACGATATTGACTTATGACATCAAAAACTAGGAAATGCATATTCAAAATTCCTACAAAATATGTTGAGGTAAAAAGATATATCCAAAAAAATGTCACTTGCAATCGATTAAGCACATCTCCCGCTTTCCATTTGCTTTGACGATCAACAAGTTACCTAAAATTAACACGAGTAAATAATGAAGAAAAATGCAGGTTAAAAAGGAAAGTTGCATGTTATTCGTTAATATTGCGGTTATCTATTGATTGTTAGAACAAAGAGAAAGTGTTCGCGCGAAGTATTTTGGAGGTGTGCTTAATTGCTTTCAAGTATCATCTTTTAGATACATCTTCATGTAGGAATCTGAGATACGCATTTTCTCACTTCTGACGTCATCAATCAAAAGTTCCACGGCGAGTAGCCAGAAGTTTTGACTGCCCTTGAAAAATCAATGCGGTCAACAGAGAGAGAGTCTATGAGACGAGATGAAAAGTTATTTCTATGTAGTTGTTGAAAAATATATGTTTCCCAAATTATATATATTTACTGATATCTTTGGAGATTCAATTGTCGATGAAGTTTTTATACAACCGACGTAAATGGCGGCGAATAATGTGTTAATAGATAACATAAATAATATAGATAGATGACATAGATAACATAGATAACATTTCGACAATTAGAATACGCGACACGAACATGGTTTGCATAGTACAATCATTTACTCCGTTTTGCATATTACAGACCACTTGCAGTTGGCTGGAAAGAGGTAGAGGTACGTTGAGACTGAACGACTTGGAGGAGGAATCCCGCTTAGTCGGCCGTACTGCCGGCACACAGCGGGTGATACTGAACACAAAAGTGTGGCCGGGTATGACCGCGGAGCGAGCTGGGCCAAAATCTTTGAGGCTGACTGCGATGGAGATGGGCGATGTGCGAATCGTTATCGTCCAGGCAGCGCCCAAGGAAATCGATCAGCTGCACATTCTTCTGCTACAACGGCTCAAACGTGCCCAAGAGCGCCCGGCGTCCACGAAGAGGCTAGCGACGGAACACTGACAACCGATCGGCAACTTTGGCGAGCAGGCGTTAACCGTCTGTCAGCTTAATTCGTGCAACATAGAGATCACTAACACGTGAGAAGAGCTAAAAATCCTTCGGAGTATAAGGCCCTATCTAGTACGTGCGCAATAGAATGGCTATGATTTGTGCCTTCCTTCAGAAGTCGCAGTCCCACCCACTTCACCTCTCCCTGGTAGTTCGACATCAGTATTCATCGAGGAGCCTGATCAGGAGAACTAAGTCGTGGCACTTGTATCAAGTTGAATTCTTATATATTTGCTTTCTTCTCTTGATATATATATATATATATATATATATATATATATATATATATATACACACATATATATATATACATACACACATATACACACACATATATCATACATACATACATACATACAAACATATATATACATACATATATACATACATATATACATATATATATATATGTTTTTTTATTATTTTTCTTTCTCATTTTTGTTTTTTCTCCCCGAAAATAGCCTGTCTATGATCATTCCCGATTGACGTTCTTTTATTTGAAATTTTCTTACAAATACGAAGGTGCGTCCGTGTGCGTGTATGTTGTTGCGGGAGCTAGGTAACGATTTTTAAGAGATAGCATAGTTATCAACTACACGTAAGTCGCAAAGAAGAATTGTAAAGTAATTAGTACTTCATTAGCTGTTGGAGTATACCTCTGCGAAAAAGAAAAAAAGGGGAAAAATGGATATTACAACGTGCGTATATTACGTATGGCGTGTCGTCGAGGAACTTGGAGGAAGTTTATATCACAGTACGGACCGTGTGCATGTGAGATCGCTGCAACAAGCTATTTTTTTCAAACAGTGATGCGTCACAATTGATCGATCTTATAGATCTAACTCGGTAGCTTTGAGCGTAGTATTTATCCTTAAGGGCGCGAGGGCTGGAAAGGAACGAGTTGCGCGGTCTGCACAGTCGCATGCGTATGTGTGTGTGTGTGTATGAGCGCGCGCGCTCACAGTAACAGCGTATCGTCGCTGCCACGTGTATTTTAATCTAAAGGAAGGTTTCTGGGAACGTACAGCGTTACACAACGGCATTATTAATGTATATTATTATTATTATTATTATTATTATATTCTCTTAGAATATTATATTATTATTACTACAATTATAAATATGCTGTTTCATTTTAGATGTAAATAAAATCCTCGCGCGAGCAAGCCGACGGCAGAAGAGAGAATCGGCGACGCTTCCTTATTTTGTGTCCTGCGCATATCTCACGGCTCTGATCGGCTATTCTTAAACCTAAATCTCTGATTTCACCTAGTGATGTTTACCTTACGAAGCTCCTCGTCCTCTTTCTGCATGTTGCATAAGCCGAGTGTGCAAGGAGGCTCGGAAGGAGTCACCGTTTCTGTACTGCGATCTTCAGCAAGAAGAGAGAACGGAATCCTCAGAGAGCGAGAAAAAGAGAGGGAAAGAGCGACATGGATATATTTACGGTCGTTACTTAAATTTTTATTTATATTAATTACCGATAAGTTCCAAAATTTCATGTCCATAATGCACGGAGAATGCACTATATCGCACGTTGGTTACACCGAGACAGAGAGGTTCGTTGATTGGAAATCGACATCGTCGCGTTCGCACCTTCTTTGTCCGCGGCGTGACATTGATCGTCTCTCGCGTAAAATCGCGTGTCAGTACGTTCCGATGGACAATAAATCCAATTCGAAACAATGAGATCACGAGCTACTCGAGCTCGCTTTGGACCATTTATTTTTAGAAATTACATTTAACGATAGTTCCTCTTCGATTCGCTAGTGTAATCATTTTCCGAGTTAGACAGCCACACAGTGGGCATCATTTCTCACCTCTATACAGAAGAAAAAAAGATACAATAGAAAAATTGACATGACGTGATGTTTCGAGTAAGACAGATCGATCTTCCATTTTGTCAGAGTCGCGATGGACGAAGCTGAGTAACTTGGGATCCTCATGCAAGAGATACAGTTTGAAGATAGGATCGGCCTTGCACGAAAGCGCTTTCAAAGACGGATCGTTGTCTCCCTCTCTCTCTCTCTCTCTCTTCCTCTCGCGCGCGCGCACTCTCCGCCGGATACCATCTGCATCGACTTGCGAAACGCGCGTAACGAAACGCGAATCGCGCGCACTGTCGAAAGCAACAGAGAGATAGAGGGAGAGAGAGAGAGAAAGAAACGTTATTGCTGTTTACACGTCGATTCTCATTTTCCAGTCTGGAAAATACACCGGCGCGATCGAGCCTTGCGATATTTGGCGCAGCTGGCGCGACGATCGGGCGGACGCTACGGCGGGCGGCATTCAACAGGCTGATATTTATAGATCGGAGTTTCCTGCAAAATCTACCAACGCTTCAGGCGTCAAAATCCAGTGGCCGCGTTTGTCAGCGAGTACGCGCTATGATCCGGCGAAGCCGATGTTGACGGATGACGCGCAACGACGACAACACGAAAGCGCGAAGACCTCAAACGCGTGCAACAGCGGGAGTCTCGGTCCTCCTCGGCTGGCGGACACCGCGATGATCGCCGGCCCCGCCGGGAAAATCACGGGATTTCTAATGTGAGAGACCGGGAGAGATCAGCAGCCGCCGTCGCCACTATCGTCGCTGCGCACCCCCGTTGTCGTCCAAAAGCCACCTCGATCATCCGCTTGTTGTTGCAGTCTCGTGGTTAACGCGCTCCGCTGGTGTTGTGCGACTTTGGATACACCGCACCGCCGTGTCGCGACCGCGGCGGCGAGCCGAGTCGTGCCGTGCCGTGCCGCGACGCCAAGCGCGAACGAGCGATTCTTCCCCGAGAGAGAAGGAGTCTCGAGCGAAAGAGAAGAGGGGCGAGATATGATAAAGAGCAGACACAACACCCCGGAACGGTTCGCCGCGTCGTAGGAAGGTACGAAATGTCTCCTGCCGCGGACGGCGAATGATCGCTCTCGGGATCGGAAAGCGGGTCAATATCATTCTTCGATCTATAGATAGTCACGTGCGAGGACACAACGACGACGACGACGACACGGTGTGTCGCACGCGTTCCTGTTTCGCGCGGAATGTCCCCTCGCCGAAGAGACGCGGAGTCGCGTCTCAACGACGTCGCGTCCGTCGCGCTTCGCGTCCGAGGTGACTCGTCCCGTGCCGATTTTCGCGCTCGTCGTCGCGAACGAGTGCAGTTGACAAGGAACCGAACGCTTTCTCGCACGTCGGCCCTCTTGCCATCCGCTCTGCCTGGCCGAGAGTTCCTGTCTGTGATTCCCCGCGAAGCTGGATCGGCGAGTGCTGATAGCAAGCGCTCGCTCCGTTTCCTTGCAACGATGTAACGACGCAAACTGTTTGAATCTATGTTCCACGACGCCACGGTTAAAGACGTTTTATCTTTTTGCAGAGAAGAGCTCGGCGCTTGTGTTTTCGACGAGAGAACAGAGCAGTGATATTTGTCAGGGGATTCTTGTCTGCGACGAGAGAGGAGAGAGCGAAAGACACGGAGGACCGAGAGAAAGAGAGAGACAGTAGCCGCGGGTGTCGCGAGCACGACGAAATACCAACGGATTATTAATCCTCGAGGAACGCGCGCGCATGAGGAAGAGAGAAAGAGAGAGAGAGAGAGAGGAAGAAAAAGACAGAGATTCGCGTCGGATTCTCGGGACTGGCCAAAAACGCGGGCCCCGTCGCTCTCTCGCGGCGTCCCTAATTTTCCCAAAAATATAACACCGCGTCGCACACGGTCACAGCCGCGGCACGCTCGGCGCTGGACGTAGGTGGAAGAGGATGCGACGAACTTGACAGCCGGAAGCGTATTTCTCGCGATACTTTCGCGCGCGGATGACGCGTCTCGGCCAATGTGTCGCGCGATCTTCCTCTTTCCATTTCTCTCTCTCTCCCTCTTTCTTCCTCTCTCTTTTTCTCTGTTTCTATCTATCTATCTACCTATCTAGCTCCCTCTCCCTCGACGTCGACGCGCGATGAGCGATTATTCCCGGTGGGCGACGGCCGTAAGGTGAATCGGCACGCTGGCCGGTGAACCGCGAAACCGCCGGCTATATTTATTTATAGTGACTCGGGTAGTTTCGCGACAATTCTTTTCGTGTCCTCGCCGCTCACGGATCATTTCGATAACGTCTCCCCCGCAACGACGCCGCACACCGATATCGAGGTGTAATATAAGCGATCTCACGGGGAGATCTCGCGTGTGTCGTAATGAATCGTCGGGATCGGTCGCCCGAGCTCGGAGAGAAGGAGCGCCGTGCACGCGACGACGGCGACGTTGATGTGCGAGGGTGATACGATAATAGCGAAGACGATCAGTCGGAAGACGGGTGAAGCCGCTGAAGATGATGTTCACCGGTGGCTCGCACGCCAAGAGGCGAAACGCCGGCGGCGGAAGCGCTGGCAGCGGCGGCGGCTCGACCTCCGGCAGGAAGTCCTCCGTGGACCACCGGAACTGTTCGGCGCGCGTCGCCACCGAAGGATACACGTACAGGTGAGCTACTCGGTACGTAAAAGTGCACGTTGAGACATGCGCAATGACGTTCGAGAGCATTTTCGTTTCTATTTTCTCTCACTTTTTCCTTAAGGGGATATTCTAGTGTGAAGACCCGTTTTCAAGGCATTTTTTGGAAATTAATTTTAAGCAAATGGTTAAACCTACAGAGTTAATATTTTCTACTGACATTTATTCATCTTTGAAGAAACATTTCATATTTTGCCAAAGCTTTTTATGGGAGAAAATACAGGTGGACGAAACAGGTTATGCCGTCTTCCATCGGACGCCCTCGTCATCTGAAATAAACGAATTTGCTTTTATTTTGTCCTTTATGAATGTGGTTATCGCCTGAACTAGAATTAAATAATTTGAAAAAAATTAACAAAATAGCAGCGCTTAAAAAATAATAGTCTAATTTTTACTAAAAAATTCTAACTTTTCGCGGTCCGGAAAAATAGTAATTTTAAAGATATCAGTAAAATTCTAGTTCAGGCGATAGTCACATTCATAAAGAACAAAATAAAAGTAAATTCGTTTATTTCAGACGACGGCAATCAACACGCCCGATGGAAGACGGCGTGTCCACTTGTATTTCCTCCAATTTTGAATAAAAAGCTTTGACAAAATTTGAGATGTTTCTTGAAAGATGAATAAATGTCAAAACATTAACTCTGTAGGTTTAATCATTTGCTTAAAATTAATTCCCAAAAATCATGTCTTGAAAACGGGTCTTCACACTAGAATACTCTCTTAATAATGGTTAAATGTATCTCTTGGCTATCGGTTAAGAGCAGTAATATACAATATCACGAGTGTGACAATACCGAGATAACACGAGATTTCCAGGGCCGTTCTTAAGACGTAGAGACGTTCTCAGAATGTCTTTAAAATGTCCTGTGGAAATCTGTGCTGTTTGGGTATCGTGACTCCGCACCTATAAAATACATGTACGTGCAGGAAAAGAATTTGATTCGATTAACCATTCAGTAAACATATCAACTATCGGTAACATAACATCAAATTTATAATTTTTTATTAAATAATGTAATATAACGCGAGTATTACGTAACAGTTACATTGTTGAACGGAAAATCATAACATTGATGTAATGTCACTGTTATTTAGTGTTTATTCAGCAAATTTCTAGAGAAAAATAAACGAGCCAGAAAATTCCGCTTCAAGTTACCAGAATTCTGCTCAAGTTAATAAGAGATCTGTTCGAGGAACTTTCCGAACTAATGTATACTGGTGCAATCAGTTAGAGTGACATAAGTATATCTTATTTCACTCTGACTTATTGCATCAATGTACACTAGTTGAAGTTCCTCGGAAAAGAACAGACCAAATATTTCCGGTCAGCTTAAATAGAATTCTGATAATTTCAATCGGAATTTTTTTTTATTCGTTCATATTTTACCCGAAATCTGGTTAATCCAACCAAACAATTTTTCTTTATGGAATGAGCGAATCGTATGAAAAATTTCTCTTTTGAAAAGTGTCGTTGAAATGATTTCTGTTGTAAACGTTATTCTGAAAAAAAAAAGTTTCTCTTCATAATTTCTTGAAGAAGTTACAACGACTCGTTATTAATTCCGAATTATTAAAATAAAACAGAGTTATTCATTAAATACCAGAATTAAGATCAGAGTAGCAAGTTACTTTCTTAAATGATAACAAGTAATAATGGATTATTTGTGATAAAATAACTTTCCAAACCCTATGGAATACGCGAGACGTCCTGGTGATGGAATGACCGTTTCAGGACGAGAGTGCCGACGTTCCTGAACCCAACGGAGCTGCCGCCAACCACCTCGGCCACGAGCAAGACCTATGTCTACAAGACCAGGGTTCCTCGAAGGGACGCCGCATCGGCAGCGACGATGTTGCCGTCACGAGAAAACAAAAACATTGGACGCGCCATCACGAAAAGAAGGGGCGCCGTTAAGCATAACAAGGTGCATGTTGTGCGCGGTCACAAGCTCGTGGCGAAGTTCTTCAGGCAGCCGACATTCTGCGCCTTCTGCAAGGAGTTTTTGTGGTAATTCACTTCCAACAGTTCGTCGCAGTCGTCGACGCTTTGCGGCTTCGGTTAATTGTTAATTCTTCATCCCTCCGAGATCTCTGCAATCCCAAATCGTGAAGAATCGTTTCTTGATCGTCTGTTTTTGTGTCTTCCAGGGGTTTCGGAAAGCAGGGATATCAGTGCCAAGGTAAACCCTCAATTATTTCTATCGTGTGTGTCTTTACTCTCTCCTTTGACGTTCATTAATGTAAACGAACTTACGGGAGGGTTTTCTTGTTGCAGCGTGTCAAACGGCGGTGCATAAGAAGTGCCACGACAAGTTGCTGACGAAATGTCCCGAGAGCGGCAGAGAATCGGAAAATACGATAGTAAGTGTCACGTCTTTGAGACGATGAATACAGGCAGACGAGATTACACGTGAAATTGCCGCCCGTGAAAAGTCGTAACATTAATTGACAAACTACTTCGATTTGCATATGTGCCGGAAAAAGATGCTTCACCGACCCGACAGTAAAACAGATAACGCGCTGTCGCGTCGAATTCTCGCCACCTTCACTCTGCTGAATGGCTCATTTGTTGATTCGTTGGTCATTGCAGTACCTGAGGGAGCGTTTCAAGATAGACGTGCCGCACAGATTTCGGACGTACACCTTCATGTCGCCGACCTTCTGCGATCACTGCGGCTCATTGTTGTACGGATTGTTCCGGCAGGGCTTAAGATGCGACGGTAAGGAAGAGTTGTGTTGCCGTCAAGGATGTATCTTTCTAATGCAAATCGACGGGGAAGGTCTTTAATGCATCTTGATCGGTCGAGTTAGACCTTCCTCCCCCTCCTCCGTTCACGTTTCGATCGAATGACGTGGACACTGGATGTGAGACGTACGCCCGTTAGACGTTATTACTCAATTAATTAACACTAATGCACGAGGATGTGATAACCCAACGCATTTCAGAATGCACATGAAGCTCGCGCTCTGCATGTTTTTCGTACGCGCATGCGTTCTTGTTTCTTAACATCTATTTTGTAAGCCGTAAATTAGACGCAAGATCTAAACTCAGTCGCTCAACGCTTCAATGAACACTTTTGTGCCATTTCTTCGTACTTGTATCGAGGCGCTAAGTGTCAAATATGTAAAAATAGGATCCTAAGATACACGAGCGCAGCTTGACGCCAAAGTCACCCACGATGTTATGCGGCACATTTCGTCGGCTAAGAGAAATAAACTGTTTGGTGAATACCAGGAAGATTCGCGGACGAGAAAGCAGTTTGATTAAAAATGATTGCTGCTTAGAAAATATAGGCGCCATTACGTGACGAAATGTGCGTTTTCTTCAGAAACAAAACGATGCCGTATCGATACCCCATTTGGATGATTCAGTGATTATTAACACTGGAATGTCCAGAAGCTACAATCCTTTGGATGTCCGAAAGAGTCATCTTGATTCCTTTTTAATATCTTTAAATCTCTTCCTGTTTCTCATTATACTCGTTTTAATAACTTCTGAACATTTTAAGAATATAATTGAAAGTCACAAGATATCATTTTCCTTAAGCCACGAGAAACAGGAATAACGACGACAAGATCTTGAAGGAGTCACCAAAATGACACCATCAGACACTCCGCAGTAAAAATTACGTAAATTTCATTTCTACATTCAGTCGCCAACGAGTACGACGACACTCTCTTTCCGAGTCGACTGTACGGCCGTTTAAATATCGCGCTGGGTGGAACGCGACGTGTCTTCTTCGAGAGTCACCCCAGCCGATCTTGCACCAACTAATGTGTGTGTGTGGTGTGTGCATGTGTGTGTGTGTGTGTGTATGTTTGTAGCATCAGCGGCAGCGATTATTTATTGTATATGCACGACGCGTACAAATGCGGGAAGCTTACTCGCCGCATTCCACCGTCGCAATTACCAGCTGTAGTAGTCGCCGACGACGACAACGACGACGACGACGACGGTGGCGGCGGCGGCGGCGCGCGGGTTATTAGAGTCTAGGTAGTATAGTTAGACGCTAGGGAAGCCTCATATACTAGAATTCTATTATTACATCGGGTCGCCGGCTTAAACTCAGTTGGTCTTGGCTCCCTGAACCGTGAGAACACTGCTTCTCGCACACCTGAAGAGCGGCGCGTTCGCGGCCGGTCCGCGCCGAGGTACTCCTCCGCAACGCAGTTGTTCAGTCGTCCTCTCGACCGGCGCACTGATCGCACTCTCTCTCTCCCTCTCTTTCTCTCTTTCTCTTTCTCTCTCTTTTTCTCTCTTCCTCGTCGGGCCAGTGTCGTGCTCGCCGAATCGTCCGCGCAAAAGGGAATAAAGTGCTGCGACGAAGATGCCGTACTACAACGACGTGCCGCACTACTACGGGGTATCGTACGCGAACCACAGCTCGTTGATGACGGGCACTGGACGGTAAGGGCGAGCGATTTATGAGACACTCGTCGGCGCGAGCCAGGCGAAAGTGCGCGAGCGGAATGTTTCTTCTTGTGTACAGTCGGCTGATTGAAGTGTAGCAACGTTTTACTTCCATGAGTCCTGCAATGGGCTTCACATTCAATGGGAGAACGTGTTTTCTGAGAATTACGAAGGAAACAACTTCTCCTGTTAGGTGCGCGATGTGTCACGAGGTTCGACGAAAACAAATGTTGCTACCTTTAATTAGTCGACTGTATGTCTAGTGTTTGTACAGTCAGTCGCAAGACTTGCTTTTTAATGAGTTTTGCAACGCGTCCGTGTCCGATAAGAGAATTTCCCATGCAACACGCGTGTCGCGAAAGACGTCCTAAAGACGTCCTGTTTCTTTCAAACGTCTTTCCGGCATGTTCAATACATCTTTGAGACATGTGTGATGCATGGACTCATTTCTTGCTATTGACAGTGAGTAAAAAATTTGGCTGTATTAACGTGAAGTTTGGATGAACCAATCAACGCGTTTTGGCGGAAGAACACAAAATTTCCGATACTTATGATCCAAGTTTCACACTAAGAACCAGAAATTCCGTTTTCTTCAACCAAAACGCGTTGGTTCGTTCATTACGACCAGACCTTTTTCTTCGTGTACATCTTATGGGATGCAAAATCTCGTATTAATAGTTGTTACTTGAAATTGTCTCAAATGGTATACTCAGATCTGAGTTTAAAGTTAGATCAGAAATCCACTGGAGTCGCGATTACAGACATAATACCGCACGTATCAATTGAAAAAAAACTTGCATCTAACTTCGAATAAAAGAGTTTGAGTGTCTCATATAGGACGAGTTTCAAGTAACAAACATTAGTATAAGTTTAAATATGTTTTGAAGTTCATTTGCGTTGATATTTTCTCAATTAATTCTACTTGGAATATTTGAGTTTCTCTCTCACTACGCCTTCTTGTCTCGTGGTTCAGCCAAGTTTTGCACTCGACTTAGGTAAATGTTCGCTGGTGGAAATTTTTCTCATGGCCGTGGCGTGCGCCTGCACGAAATATTCGGCGAGTACAGCGGGTACTGCGTCTCGCGAAACGGCAACAAGTGAGGTCGGGTTGAGGAAAAAAGTGCTGCGGCGACGAGAGATTCGCGTATTGCTATAATTACAGCGGGTAGATTCTTCCCTCGTTCATCTTTTCACGCGAGCGCTCTTGGCAAGACGAGGCCACGACGTATGACTCGAGCCGCGAATCATCCATCATTGTGCGATGGCAGTGCGGCGATAAATCCGGGAATTGTCCAAAGGCAAGGTCTAATTTTGCCGCCGAAAGAGACGGAGAGAGAGAACGCGGGAATGTTGGATTTTCGCGCTCCGCGTACCAGAAATTCAGGAATACCGTGCACTGTTGTCACTCTCCGGGAATGTTTGGACGCGTTTTAGGCTGCCCGATGAGCAATCTCAGGACTATCAGGAAATCTTACGAGGCGTAGATCGCGCGTTACCGCCGATTCCGTTTCACCTCGGAGATTTTTCTCAAGGAGGCCGCGCGATTACGCAAGCAACGTGAATTCGTACGAATGTTAAGCGATCAAACACCGCATCAAACACCGAATCGCGTCGGCGTTTGCTTACCACATGTATCCAACAAGTGTTCGCGAAACGTTTCCGCTGTGTAACGTAACGCAGAGCAAAAATAAGCATTTGGCATTGGAGCGAATGTACGCGGCCGATCAAAGGGCTCAATCGATACAATACGTGTCTGACAATCTTAATGAATGGGGCAGTGATTCTCTCGCTAGCTTTGCCAGTACATACATTTTTTCTCAACTCCCTCGCGCTCTTGTCACTCGATTTACTGATGAAATTTACGGAAGTTTCGACTCGGACGTACGAGAAATTTCCTAACTCATTAAAGTTATTTCACATACATATTTAATTGAAGGATCAATAGTCAGTTCACTTGTGTTTGAAATCTCAGATCATAACAATTAAAATTATCTTAATTAAAGCTTTCAATATATCTAGGAATTAGGTGCTAAAAATAAAAATAAAATAAAACATTAATTTCATATCTTCAATTAAATGTCCGTAATTCTATTTTTGTTTTGGGTTCTCAGAAGCCTTGGTTTCGGTTAATTTCGAGTGACCTCACTTCGATTTATTTCACGCGATTTCACTGAATAAAAATGAACGTCCTGTAAGTGGAATGGCCGAGTTAATCAGTTAATTTCACGTCGACAACGATGACGTTCTTTTACGACGGCGGTTCACGATTTACGTCGCGTCGCCATGAGAAAAATGTCCCCGCCAAGAGTCTGCGCGATCAACAATAACAATAGAAACTCGCACGAGACGCGAGCGATAGGGCGCGGCAAATTAGTGAAAAAGAGCCCGAAGTCACTATCGCCATCACCATCCCCGTGTCTCGCACAGACCCTTCACGCCGATATCCCGTTTCTCGCCGCACCTGTCGACCATCTCGGAGTCGCCGCTCAGTCACCTGCACCGCTTCTCGCCGATCGTGCGACACCCGCGACGAGTAATCGACACCGCGGACATCGACGTCTCGTCGCCGCGGATTCTCTCGCACGATGGCAACCGACCCAGGAATCGTCTGCGTCGCGATCGACCGACCATCAAGATCCGCTCGCAGGCCCTGAAAGACAATCCGATGTTGCGCCAGCACAATGAACGACACGAGAAGTCGGTGGGCGAGCTCCTGATGGAGAAGTTCCTTATCAAGGACAAGAAGTCGTCCAGCGACGGCCAGCAGCAGCCAGTGCGCCTCTACCATCAGATCAGCCTGGACAGCCTGGACGAGAGCGCTCAGGACCGCGAGGCCTTGCAAAAGCGAGTCACTCGGCGACTCACACGGCGCAGATCCTCCACCGACCTGCAACTCGACCCTGAGCAGCTGCAACGAGAAGCCACGTACGCTCAGGTGCAGGCGAAGTTGTTGGACAGCCTGGTGGCGGAGGAGCAGGCGCAGATCGAGAGCGAGGTTCGTCGCGGTACTCTCATCAGGAAAGGGACGGTGAGAGGTCCGATGAACGGCCACTCGTACTACTCGAGCCATTCCGGCGAGTCCGACACGATGACGCGCGAGGAGGAGGAGGAAGCGTTGAGAATGAGGAAGACCACGAAGAAGACCAAGAGGAAGAAGAAACCGACCGACAAGCCATCACCACCCGACAAGGCGGACGCAAACGACCACACGGCTGATGACAGGAGATTAAGTTCCTCCAGCGAGCTGTCCACTGACTCAAAGATCGAAGAAGAGGAGGACTCGTTGGAGGAGAACGGCCCGCGGCCGCAGATGTACAAGATCGAGGCGTGCAACAGCGCCGGCGACTTCTCCACGATCTGGGTGAACGCATCTGAGAACGAACCGCAGCACAAACTGAACGTCGACCAGTTCCGCGAGAGCGTAAGGGTTCCTATCCCCAAGAAACCCGGAAGCAGCGGTACTCATACGATCGCTACGGCGAAAAAGGCGGATGAGGCGGAGACGCAAGTGGTATTGCCAGTGAGGAAACTATACGTCAAAGACCCGTCGAGAAACAGCGTGTACTTGACGTTGAAGAAGCCACTGGAGAAGCTCTGCGACGAGAAGCTTGACGCGAGACTCGAGACGAACGCGGAGGAGGCTGAGGACGAACGTTTGGCGAACGGCTTCGTCGAAGCGTCGACGAATCGAATCCTTCAAGAAGACGGCTTGAAGAGCTCCAAATGCGACAATGAGTCGTCAAAGTTGCACGATGAAGTGGGGCCGGCTGATGATGTTAAGGACGTGATGTTCAAGAAGACTGCTGGGAAGCTTAGGAAAGTGGAAGAGTCTCTAACGAAGAAGAAGGACGTTCGTGTCACTCCGAGAAGCCTGGACGTCGACGTCGACGACGGTGACTCACGTGTCGTCAAACGAGACACTGTTATCTTGAAGATGAAGGATGATGAAGTACGAGAGACTGACATCAAAGCTGAGTCCCCGAAGAGTATCGAGACGACGAACGCTTCTTCAATTTCTGTAGAATCGGGCGTTTCGACGTGTACGCAAACGAAACAGTTGGAAGCGTCAAAAGATACGCCTGATGTGAAAGTGAAGAAAGACAACGAGAGTCGCAAAAACGAGGTCGCGATTGCCGCTGCGAAGAAGAACCTGGAAGCGACCACGGCAGTCAAGACTTCAAAAGCTCTAGTCTCGTCTAAAGATGCTCCCTCTACGCCCACGAGGAAAAATAACGAGGATCAGAGGAACGAGAGTACGATTGGTGTGAAGAAGAATCTGGAAACAATGGTCAAGACATCAAAATCGTCTGCCTCGTCTAAGGACGTTATTTCTGCGGCCACGAAGAAGGATAATGAGAATCAGAAGAATGAGAGTGCGACTGGTGCTGCAAAAAAGAACCTGGAAGCGACAACAGTTAAGACGTCGGAAGCTCTCACTTTGTCTAAGGACGCTCCTTCTATGACCACAAAGAAAGACGACGAGAGTCAGAAGAACGAGAGCGCGATTAACGCGACGAAAAACTTGGAAGCGATTCCTACAACTAAAACGCAGGAATCTGTCATTTCATCTAAAAATGTTCTCTCTGCGAACATGAAAGACAACGAGAATCAGAAGGATGAGAGTGCGATTGGTGCTACAAAGAAGAACCTGGGAGTGGTCATAAAAAAAGACAACGAAAATCCGAGGAGTGAGAGTATGATTGGTACAACGAAAAAGAGCCTGGAAACAGTTCCTATAACTAAGACACAGGAATCTGCCATTTTGTCTAAAGATGCTCTCTCTGCGACCACGAAGAAAGACAATAAAAATCAGAGGAATGTGAGTGCGATGAAAGGAAATTTGGAAACGGTTTCTACGGCCAAGACGAAGACGTCGGAAAGCCCAACTCTGCCTAAGGATGTTTTCTTCACGAAGAAAGACAATGAGAACGCGATGAGCATCTCGAAAAAAGATCTGGAAATCGTCCCTGCGACCAAGACGAAGACGTTGGAAGGCCCCATTCCGCTTAAGGGTGTTCTCTCCACGAAAAAAGACAATGAGAACGCGATGAGCATCTCGAAAAAGGATCTGGAAACCGTCCCTGCGATCAAGATGAAGACGTCGGAAGGCCCAACTCCGCTTAAAGGTGTTCTTTCCACGAAGAAAGACAATGAGAACATGATGAGCATCTCGAAAAAAGATCTGGAAACCGTCCCTGCGGTCAAGACGAAGACGTCGGAAAGCCCAACTCCGCCTAAGGATGTTCTCTCTACGAAGAGAGACAACGAGAACGCGTTGGGTATCTCGAAAAAGGATCTGGAAACCATCCCTGCAGCCAAGACGAAGATGCCGGAAAGCCCTGCGTCGTTCAAGGATGTTCTCTCCACGAAGAAAAACAATGAGAATGCGATGAGCATCTCGAGAAAGGATCTGGAAACCGCCCCTGTGATCAAGATGAAGATGTCGGAAGGCCCAACTCCGCTTAAAGGTGTGAAAGGCTTAAATGAGAATGTGATGGGCATCTCGAAAAAAGACCTAAAACCCGTTTCTGCGATCAAGACGAAGACGTCAGAAGTCCCTGCTTCGCCCAAGGATGCTTCCTTGCCCAAGAAAGACAACGAGAGTCGCAAGAACGAGATTGCGATTGGCGGTACGAAAAAGATCCTGGAAACGGCGACCAAGCCCAAAACTCCGGAAGCTCTTGCTGCTTTGAGGACAGACAAGCTCGCGGAGGAGGAAGCGCAAGGCACGTCGGCCGCGCCAAAGATCCTGGCGATGTCGCACGAAGACGTAAGAACGACGACAACGGCGGAACGGAGCGTTAGCACGTACGCTGGCGATACGCGTGAAAACAGCGCCAGCATCGCGACGATGCCCACGCCGAGCGCGGCCAGTCTGCCAAAAGCGTCTAAAATTAATGCAGATAGAAATAATGCCGTAGAAGCGCCAGAGCTTTCGTTACGAGAGGCGGCGGCGTACCTGCCAGCCGAATCGTCCGCGAACAAGAGCGAACGCCACGTCACCGAGGTGGACGTGGTCGGGGTAGCCGCGTTGCCGGGAAAGAAGGCGGACAAAGCGTGGAACTTGGCGAAGAAAAGCGCGTCTGCCCTCGACGTCCCCCCGAAGAAAGCCAATGGCGTAAACGAAGCGGGCGAGCTGGCCCGTGGACATCGCGACGACACCGCGAAGTCGAAATGTGACGAGACGACCTTGCCCGAAGGCACGAGCGGCGAAGTGCGCAGCAACGAGACAACGAAGGCGGGAAATGTCAAGTTGACGAGAGACGTCGGTTTGACGAAAACGCCCGGATACAAAACAGGAACCGCGGCGCGCGAATTATCTGCGGAAGCGACCTCCTCGTCGATTGCACCGGCGCGGAGCGAGGCGAAAACGACCGTCCTTGGGACTGACGCCTCCGAGGCAGCGAAGCCGTCCAAGGTCGATGTAAAGAAGGTCAGCGCGCTTGTCGACGCAGAGGAAGACTCGTCGAGAGACTCGGGTGTGTCCAGCCCGAAAGACAAAGTGTCAAAGACAAAGTTCGGCGGCGCGGAATCAAAGTTTCCCTTCAAGATAAGGACTCTTCAGAAGACAAGCGAAGTCGGTAAGGACTCGAGTACGTCCAAAGCGACGAGCCACGACGATGGCAAGGCACCGACGGCCGCCAGGAGAGACGCCAATGCACCGAGAGTCCTGAAGAAGAGCACCTCCGTCGATCCTCTGAAATCAACGAGTGATTTCTCGCCAGCCAACGCTAACATCTTCTCCAAGACGCTGCAACAGTCTGTGTCAGTTGATGAGAAAACCACAGGCAAGAGCATGCCGGTGAAGAAGCTGCTCGAGCCGACCAAGCTCCCCAGCAAGGCGACAGAGAAGAAGCTCGACGTAAGCTGCGAGAAGTCACAGGTGGAACCGAGCGGACAACTGTCCAAGAGCGCGTCCACCGAGTCCATCGACTTCTGGAGCGAGATCAAAGCGCCGGAAAGTCCCAGAGCGACCAGGTCGAAGCAGAGCGCGGCTCCGCCCAGCAATGCAAACGCGGTCAGCTCGAAGATCGAGGAGAAGGCGGATCCGATTTCGGGCCCGAAATGGGCGTCCAGCGAGTCAGCAGCGAAGCCGTCGGCGACGACGGCGGCGATAAAAGAGCCCGGCGAGAAAAAGAACGAGAGCGCCGTTAAAATAAGCGTCGCGCCCGGCGCTACAGCGGCAGTCGCACCCAACGACGTCGCCGAAGCGAGGAGGCCGAAGGAGAGAGCGGTGGTCCCGCCGGTGGAAGCCACGCGGTCGAAGGCGGAGGTGGAGAAGGGCGCGCAGCAGCAGACGAAGGCGCCGCGGGCGAAGAGGAAGAACAACCTCTCGATCGCGATCGACAAGGACTCGACCGTGAAGAAGGCGCCGACCAAGCGCGAGGATTCCGCGATCTCGTCTCAACCTGAACCCAACACAGCGACCTCGAACACCTCCTCGGAAGAGTCCACTCCACTGGCGGTGCCGGAGATCACCGTGCCGCTGATTAATATAATCGAGGTGCCGAAGTTGTCCGGGTCCGACGGCCAAAGCGCCGATCACGAGGATTATGAGGACGTCAGCACGCCCACGAACGAGCTTGCTGATCCCGCTCTGGCCAAGATCTCCAAGTGGAGCCACCGTGACGATCTAACGGCCACGGACGACGCGGAGACTCCGGTGGTATCGGAGGAGGCCAGCTTGGCAGCTAGTCCCGCCATCAGTCCGCAGTCTTCGAAGACGAAGCACGCGGTGAAGAAGAAGAAACCGTCCAGCAAGAAACCGTCCACCAAGAGCGACAAGGAGACGGCCAAGAGGGCCAGCAGCGAGTCCACCACGACGACGAGTCGTGGCGAGCAGAGCACGCTGGTCGTGAAGCCGCAGCAAACAGACCAGCAGCTCCGGTTGAAGCCGTCGCTCAACGGCTCGCCCAGGAACAGCCCGAGGAACTCGCCGTCGCAGCGGCCGCTGGACCTCATCAAGATGTTCTATACGACGCCGTCGGCGCTGCTCACCGCGACACCCCGCGACCTCACCAAGATCAGGAGGGCAAAGATCAAACGGCGCAGGCATCACTCGAGAACGCCGTCCGTCAGCAGCGACAGCACCGGAAGCACCACCAGCAGCACCGCCACCACGGAGAGTACGGATGGTAGCGTCTCCACTTGCACCGAGCTCGACGACGAGGCCGAGCACAAGCGAATGAATTCCACGAGGAGCAATGACTCTGGCTTCGACGGCTCGCCGAGAATCTCGAGTACTTACTTACTTCTTCAGGAGATTGTCTTTGCACCGGTGCCGTCGTTCAACGCGTGTCCGGACAGTTTCGAAATAATTCCCTTTGTTCGTCCAACCCGTTGAAGGCCTTAATTGATTTGACTACTTTCAAGCAAAGGAAGTTTGTTTCCCACAAGTTTCGTACGAAATCAGATTGGAATGGAATTAATAGTAATATTCATTTCAACAGTTACGTGTAGGTTAATATTGATATTCATCCTAATACTGTTGTTAATTTCATTCTAATCTAATTCTAACAGTTCTAATATCCAACATGAGATCTCTGAAAGACGCAAACTGCTCCCTTAATTAAAAGTATTCGATGAGACAAGATTGATAATAGTGCTGTCTTATAATTGAGGACATTGATAACTGGAGAAATTTTTTAGTCTTTTAGAGAAATTTTAGCTGGAAATATGAAAATGGAATTATATATATTATTCATATGATTTCATTCTGTAAAAAAGACATCACAATCGATCACAATGATGAATTAATCACGATCGCGAAAATTCAGAAACTGTCCGGAGGACTTTGACACGACGACGATTAATTGAGTTCTCTGGATGTTTGTTAATAATTCTCGCTGTGCTCGCTGGCATTGATTCTGCATGCGCGTGTGTGCCAATGTAATTAACACTAAGTGCTTACGACCTAAACTAACAAGGAAACACACAAGTGTCCGCTTCCGATTTTCATGAACTTGTAATATGTTGTACTTTAGATCAAAATAACAGATACATCTTTTATTGTATGTTTTGCAAGTTTAGGGGGTGAATACCTCTTTGAAGAAAATCAGTTTTTTTTCATTCGAAGAAGATATAATAAAAACTAGAAGAGATAGAAAAAATATTTTGAATAAAAGTTGAATGGTTTGAAGAGTACTTTACAGAAATTATTTTAATAATTATAATAAGAAGGAATAGTAGAGGAAATATTTAAAAAAAATTTTTTTAATAATTTCTGTAAAGTACTCTTCAAACCATTCAACTTTTATTCAAAATATTTTCTTCTATCTCTTATAGTTTTCATTATATTCCCTTTAAGTGAAAAAAAATCGATTTTCTTCAAAAGAGTATTTCATCCCCTAAATTTGCGAAAGGACATATAATAAAAAACGTATCTGTTATTTTTATCTAAAGTACAACATATTACGAGTTCATGAAAATCGGAGGCGGACACTTGTGTGGGTTTCCTTGTAAGTTAAAATATCTTCTAAATTTCTTCGAGTGAAATTCTATTTGAAGAGTAGAATCACTCGCAATCAAGCGACTGCTGATATAGGATGAAAATTCTGCCCTTTTGAGCGGAATGAGCATTTTTCTTTCGAGTTGAGGAGTCAATCAACATACTCCAACTTTACTGGAACAAGATCACTTTGACACTCACTCGGAGGGATCAGGAATCAACTCTGCGCTTTGAGCTAAACTGACTGTGAGAGATGAAACGTCGTTTTAATGCGAGTGACAGCGCTTGCACTGTCGCTTGGAGTGAATCTTCACTCATTTCGAGCGATGTAGATGTAGATGTTCACTCCCCGAAATTTCGAGAGTAAATCCTAATCGCCATTCGTCAGTCTCGCGTCTCTTTCTCAGACTTCGAGTTCGACGGCACTAACGCGCGGCCGTGTGTATTTCCATAACATTTCGGCCGGATTACTCGCTCGGCGTGTGTTGACTTTAAATTAACGCACGACATGCACGAATAAACCACGTCTCGCGGGAAGATGCCTTCCCCCCGGCGCGGAATTTTGTTCAAAATATTCACGAGTCCGCGAACGCGCCGCGAAGGACGCGTCGCGAACCTCGCGGGATCCTCTTCTTTCGATCGCGACGACGCTCTCGTGCGAGGAAACTCGATCGCTCCCCACGTCACTCGTAGCCACGACGAGACACTCGTTTTAGCGTATCACGTGCCGCGACGGATCTGCAACGGCGGAACCGAAGACGACGCGCAATGCTTCATATACGCCCGCACGTCTCGACGCTATTAAAATGATGTAAGGTCGTTGCCGTGATGTCAATGACACCCCGAGAGCCTCGAGCACCGCACTTTACGTACAAGGAAACGCTCGTATACGTCGTTTTCTGGCGCGGAACGATGTTTGGTGGACAATATCGCGGTCGTCTCGTCTCTGCCGCGCCAAAAATCGCGCGACACGATAACGAGGCGTATGATAATGTCTCCTAAGGTATCAAAAACTTTTAAACGACGCCTTACAGACACCTTGAAGATGTTCTACTTCTTCAGACGTCTTTTGGGTATTTTTGAGAAGTCTTTTAGAAGCTTCTGCTACCTGGATCGATCTTAGGGACCTCATCCTAGACGCATGGCGAGCCTGAAGTACGCCTCCCTAATTCCAAGTTCTGATTTTCTTATATGAGCGTCGCATATAACAATATCTCGGCTTGAAAATTAGAAAGACTTTTCTGTATTTACCTTTCGCTATACTCTTCGTTCTGGATACGGACCCAGGGTGAATTATTTCGGACTAGCGAGTCCGCCATTGTGAACACGTCAAGATGCATCAAAGACTCACGGTACGGTTTGATGACATGCTAAAGTGCTTGTACTTTATCGGCCTGCGATCCGACGTTTCCGCAGATTGCGACATGGCCTGCCATAAGAAGTGCGAAAAGCTCACGGGGAATCTGTGCGGATTAAATCAAAAACTAGTTGCGGAAGCTTTACAGGCCCTGAAGAGAGGTGAGTAGCGACGCGAGTGTGTGACCTCTGGCCCGCGATTTAACACGTTCGCTACCACACATCGCGTGTGACACGCCAATTCTCACGAGAGATTGACATTACGTCTGCGTATGACAGCGATAATTGTCCATTTTACGTCACAAATTAAACCTGTTTCACATTATTATATGACAAAAAAAACGAAAAATGCAGGTTTGTGGCAAGGAATGAACGCAATGTCGGGTGAGGGAAACACCATGGTATGAGGGTAAAAAAAGATATATTTAGGAATTTCTTTTTAAGTAACAATACGTTTTTTTAAATGGTTGAAAAGCTTGAAGAAGATACTCTCGAGAGGTACACCCGTTCAAAGTCAAATTAGAAATATAATTTAATTAAGGTTCCGGGCCCCTCACATTGTCTATTTCTTTTTAATGACGTTAGAAGCGAGAAAATGCGTGCTAAAAATTCTTGCGAAATACGTTGAGATAAAAATATATATCCATGAAGTAACACTTGCAATCGATTAAACAAATTTATAAGATATTCCGTGCACTCTTCTTTTACTCTAACAATCAAATTACAATAATTTATTGTAAATTAATCTAAATTCGAAGAAATAAGTTAAGAAGATGAAGTTAATAAATGTCAATCAGATGTGTCAATAAATTATTGATTATTAAAGCAAAAGAGGAATGCACAGAATATTCCATAGATTTATTTAATCGATTGCAAGTGTCATTTTATAGATATATCTTTTTATTTCAACGTATTTCGCAAGAATTTTTAGCATGCATTTTCTCGCTTCTGACGTCATTAAAAAAAAGATAGACAATGCCAGGGCGCCAAGAGCCTTAATACATTTCTAAAAGAATTGTACGTGGGAAACGTTAAAGGAATATTAGAATACATCAAAGTTTGATTAACAATTGATTTCATCGATCGACGACATGATATTCGTGATTTTATGTGTGACGATTGATTAATTTTCATTATTGACTTGCCGATTATTTTGGGAGAGAGAATTTCAATCGACACTGATGAATGGTGGTAGCGGTCGCGTTAATCACGACGCTTTGCCAGGCACGACGCGTCTCACGGAACGGTAACCACGTGGTACTACACGTGTGATAACATCGTGCACGTTGTGCATTTAACACATCGGATATTCCTGCCGATTCCGCGCGGCACGAATGCACTCACGCCGACTATACCGACCGGCGAATACCATCGGGCGGTCGGATCTATTCTTGGAGAGTGTCGCACGGCCAAATTGCACAGTCAGGTGTTTTTACGTGCCAACGGTAACGTTTACAGAGGCGGCAATTCGCCGCGATCTCGAGTCCAGTCGATCGCGTCGGATTGTCGACCGGACTGTATGATCGTATTTGAAAAAGAACAGCGCCTCCCTGTCTTCCGATGTACACTAATTGGCAGCACGCCGCAACACGCGGTGTGATCAAGCCACTAGAACTTTTCTGACCGTACGCGTTATCGATCTTTTTATCAGGTTGGTGCAGAATATCTGTCATGTTTGTCAAACAAAATGGGAAACGAAATGATCGAATTTCGAAGGATCAATAGCTTTTACGAATAAAATCAACATCGACTCTTTCCTTGATTTCATCCACTTGACAGTTTGTGATAACCCCGGCGACGCCGGGTAGTTTCAGATAGTATAAAATATCTTTCAGATAAGAAGATATACATTTTCTTAAGATCTTTTTCATGAAAGCAGTTATTTGTAGCAGCGAATAAATATTTTTTAGATCTTTTCTCTCAGTGTACAAGAGGATTCCGTCAAGGATGAGATTATATTTTTTTGAATGTGCTAATTGATGTGCAATCCGAGATTCGCGTGTCGGGTTTCCACCCGCAAACGACGGCTTCATTAACGCGACTGTCGTCTCCCCGCAGCACCCTCGCAGTCGTCGGACAATCAGCGCAACTCAGACTCCTCGGATCACTTCCCCAGCGGCCGGATTACGCCGCCGGCGACGAACCTGCCGAGGTTTAAGAAGTACGCGGTGACTGATTTCAACTTCCTCAAGGTGAGAGCGTGCTTCCCTTCTTATGATTTTCAGAGATCTGACGATTTTTTAGCGTGCACTCTGAGATCTCGTGATCGCGGCGATCGTCAACGAAACGCCCGAATTATCCTGGACTGAAGTCCACGCGCGCCGCTGTCGGGACACACCAACATCTGGCCTCGTTAATTCATAAAACACCTGTCCTTTCAGCTTAGTAACTTTTTGTTTGTCACGGCACGACACACGAGCGCGTTACGCGCGGTGTACTCTCGGCCGGTTCCAAAATCAGCCAACTATTCCTAGACCATATTACGTATTTCGCACATATAATCGCGTACACGCCTACACACGCGCACGTGTAGGGGAAGCCAGGTCTAGAAGTCACACGGGTCAATTGTCACAGCTTATATCTCACGATGAAGAAGTATATCTTTTCTATGATACAAGTCGCTTCCCTAATAGCACAGTTGATTGGCATTATATTGGCTTAATGTGGGGTTACATTTTAAACATTTAAAATTTAGAATTTTTCTTATTAGCTTCATAAGAAAGACATGTGATAACTAATCTTAGGAGTATGGGATGGATGGTCATATTTAGTCAATTCGCTTACAACTTAATAATTTTTTCGTGCATAAATGCATATATAAGGATAATTTTTTTTTTACCCCCTAGAGAGTGCACCTAAATTTGCACGATATTAAAAAATATTGCATATATCATTACATCACATGCGTTTTTTTTTAGTCAGTATGTAAAAAATGTGACAACTAGACCCGGTGTTCCTTATATGATATAATTAAATTTCATATTTCATCAGCGGCTCGCTGATTACGACCAAGTCGAGCAATTCGCGCGGGCGATTCACGATGGACGAAGGGAAAGACTGGCGGCGAAATCCAACGAGAAATCTCAAGCCACAGAGAAAAGCACGGAGGTGATGAACGCAGAAAACGACAGAGAGACGGTGTTGCTCGCCGATCGCTTTAATCCGCGCTTTATGAGAACGTTTCTTTCGAACACATGATAAATGATCCGCGCATCGTAATACAGCGAATATCTAAAAAGAACAGTGTTTACGCCGCCGCTGCGTGTCGGATCTTGGCGAGCTTCCAAATGGTGGCTGACTACAATATGTTCCCGTGAAAATTCCGCGCGGAGCACATGATGCGTGCGAAAATTCCGATCGACCGCGCGCAGAAGGGACTTCGCTTCTGTCGGATCTCGCCAAGTTCATTTTCGCGGAACGTTTTTCCGCCCAATAGCGACTTCTCCTGCAATTTTTCCCGTCAAGCTAATTGGTGTCAATTTCACGCCACCCACGATCTTGATATTAACACGGATCCCAGAAATCAGAAGAGCGCGGCTTGGCTCGCGGCGCGCGACGGAAACTAATCTGAATCACGTGTATTTACATCACGTGTGGAGCATCGGGGGTCTGATTCACGAGGCGTCGCCAGGAAATAGTCCAGCGGACAAGGTGCGAACGTTCGATTTTCAAGTTTACGATCAGCCACGGAACGGGGAACAATGCCAGGAACATACTTCGTCTTGTCCCCTTCGCGAGAAATAGCTGTGGAAGCGCGCGCGAACGCTTCGCGTTCAAGCGGCCGAATCTGCGATATTTATTCGCGAGAGTGCGTCTCGCGAGATGGGAAATCCAATTTGTACTGAAACAGAGAGCGAGGAAGAGAGGGAGAGAGAGAGAGAGAGAGAGGTTTTGGCTACGCAAATAGATTACCGGAATTAGTAGCGCCACGCAACGCATTATTTTTAACGTCCAGATGCGCGTGTCGAGGCACCATTCGATTTAGACCTCGAACATTCACCCAAATCCACTTCATATTATTATTATTATTATTATTCTATTACGGCGGCAACGACGACGAGATCGACGTAGCTCTCGCTCTCCATCAGCATGGAATCTTTGTTCGACGACGAGCGGCCGGATTTGAGGTCGCAACTCTTGGTGAACGCACGCTATTTTTACCGAATCTCCGCTTTTATTCCGCAGGTTCTGGGTAAAGGTAGCTTCGGCAAGGTTCTATTGGCCGAGCTGCGTGGCACGGAGTGCGCGTACGCCGTCAAGTGCCTGAAGAAGGACGTGGTCCTTGAGGACGACGATGTGGAGTGCACGCTGATCGAGAGGAAGGTGCTGACGCTGGCGACAAGGCATCCGTATCTCTGCCACCTGTTCTGCACCTTCCAGACCGACTCGCACCTCTTCTTCGTCATGGAGTACCTCAACGGCGGCGATCTGATGTTCCACATACAGAAGTCCGGCCGGTTCCCGGAATCGCGTGCGCGCTTCTACGCCGCCGAGATCTGGTCCGGCTTGAATTTCCTACACAAGAAAGGCATTGTGTATCGGGATCTCAAGCTGGATAACGTACTGCTGGACTTTGACGGTCACATTCGAATCGCGGACTTTGGAATGTGCAAACTGCAGATCTTCTTGGACAGAACGGCCGACACGTTCTGTGGCACGCCAGACTACATGGCACCGGAGGTACCGTTGAATCGTCGATTTCATTATGTCTGCAACTTCTGTTTCATTCAACAACAATTGCTCGGCGAGTCAATTAACGATTCGTCATCCTCTCTCGTCTATCAATGGCGAAGAAAACTTGTTATTATTTTACATTCCTTATATATATATATATTTTTTACATATTTACCTTAGACTAATTATTTTAATTTTTTATTCAAGAAAAATTAATAACTCTCTCTCTTTGATACAGAGAGAAAAATTTTTTACAAAAAGTAAAAATGAGTAAATTGGAACAGTCGAATTCATTGTGCGTTATCCTAAACTGTATCCTTTTCATTTACAGATTATAAAAGGACTCAAGTACAATCAAGCCGTAGACTGGTGGTCCTACGGTGTTCTTCTGTACGAGATGCTGACCGGCCAGTCGCCGTTCTCCGGATGCGACGAGGACGAGCTGTTTTGGAGCATTTGCAACGAGCGGCCTTTCATACCGCGGTATCTAAGCCAAGACGCCACCGACATGTTAGTCTGCTTGTTGGAGAAAGATTCCGGGAAGAGACCGCCCGGCCATGAGATCGCTATGCACGCCTTCTTCCAGGTACAATCCTAATCTGACAATCGTAACCTGATTGTCAGACTATTACTTTGTTAGACAATTATTAGCGCATACATCGCGCGAGATCATTGAGACAATACTCTTCCGATCTCGCAGCACTTGCCGTGGGATCGGCTGGAGAGGAGACAGCTGGAGCCGCCGTTCAAGCCCGCGCTCGACCACACCCTGGACACGAGATACTTCGACACGGCGTTCACGACCGAACGTCCGCGACTCACGCCGGTGCCCGAGCAGATCCTGACGTCGATGGATCAGGGCGTCTTTCGCGGATTCTCTTACACGAACCCGAACGCGACAGACTGACATGTGACAGGCAACGAGTGAGACGAGCCACGCAGGGGGCGTGTAGCCTTCAGTTCGTTTGTTCTCCCCTTCGCACACATTCTCGTGTTACTTAACAGCGGGGGAAAAGAAGAGGAGAAGGACGCCTCGTATTGTTGTTGGCTCGCATGGAGTCTCGACGGGAGAAGGGGAGGAAGACACAGCTAGTCGTATCTCGAAGACGCGTAAAACGCGCGGGTCGCCAAGGAGATCGTCACGCCCGATGAGACATCTTGGGAGCGACTGTAGATACGAGCCGAGAATCGAATAATAACCGCGGACGGCCAGCTCGTAATGTAAGATTGTACTTCTGTCGTTTAATGTTCCTCCAAACTATAGTCGACTCGTGTGAGCGTACGGGTCGAGCGTAAATGTAAGAATACACCGGCTCTTCCACGACCACCGTGTGGTGTTTCAGCAGCGCAAGTCGGAGATTAATCTTTGATAGCCTATTCTGCCACCTTTCCGGGCGACCAAAGATTTGTTCTTTTTAGCTGAACTGCCTGCACTGATGCGATAAGTTAGAGTAAAAATTATTTATCTCACTCTAATTTATCAATATGTACCAGCTCAGTCAGTTCAACTAAAGAGAACAGACTCAGTGTGTCTAACATGATACGTCATTGCGCAACTCTTCTATTGTGTACCTTGTACTTGCGCAACGATGCTATAACGATGCTATAACGACACTGTCGTTTAGAGTTATAGAATAGATCTGCAGGAGGCTCCCGATCAATTGCCGGCGCACGTGATATATCGCACGCTGGCTGTGGAGCCGAGGGGCGCACCGTATAGATTTTTATATCATAGACATAGGACAATTAGATGTATGCTGACAACTGTGCGTGCAGTTGATGATATTATTTATTTAGCTCAGTCAATTGTTTGCGTAGTCGCGATCGAATCGCTCGTGGCCGTCGCTGATAGTCAGATGTATTCTAGTCTTCTGTGCCTGAACAAAGCTCTCTGTCGTCGTCGTCGTCGGCACCGTAAACTCAAAGGAGAGGTATAGTAAACTCGGAGGAAGGATCGTGAGAAACGTCGACACTATGAAGGACGATCGACTGGAGGAAAATGGTTGTATAGAGATCGCTAGGAACGTTATAGACGCGTGCGTTTTATTCAGATGTAACATTAGACCATGAGGGAGGCTCCGGACTAACGGTAGAGACAGGCACGTGTGATAAAATCTCGCACTTTCGGCGGCAATTGCTGCTCGCTCTCGGGCGTGTGCGCGTTTATACACACGTTTCGCGGGCTTTCCGCATTCCTTCGAGCGTGATCGCGGAAAAGCGCGTGTCACCGCTGCGCGCACTCCTCCCATCCTGGTGTAAATTTCGGCGATGCGTAATTACCCGCCGCTTCTCCGCCGACGGTTATTATAAGTCCCGGCCTCACGTTACCGCGGCGGCTAGGGTTATTAATACATGAAGTGCCTTATTATTTTGGCCACGATGGAGTCTCGAGTGTTTTCCTCGGCCGGACACTCGGCCCTCCAAACAGACCTCTGCTACCGGCTCGAATCGGTTTTCTTCTCGCGCCGCCTTTGGTGTTCTGCTCTTATATCTCTCTCTCTTTCTTTTTCTCTTTTTCTCCATGAACCAACTTGAGCGCCGGTTCTGTCTCCTTCTTTTCTTTTCCTCACTTCCCACGAATAACATCCGGCTCGATTTATCTGCTTTCTTTTCCTCTTATCTCTCAACATCTCCGCGAATCTCGAACCGCACTTCATATTTCGCGTCACTGTCCTCCGGCTCTCTCTTTCTTTCTCTTTTCGTGGTTTCCTCTCACTCGTTCCCTTGTTCTCCTTTTTCCGACTTTCGTCGTTACGTTTTTCCTACCCTCTTAATTATACTCTCTCTCTCTCTCTCTTTCTCTCTCTCTCTCTCTCTCTCTCTCTCTCTCTCTCTCTCTCTCTCTCTCTC